CCCTCCCCCACCATCAGTTTCATGTATAGCTCTAATTACAACAACTAGTTAAGAAACCACAGCTCCTTTGACTATTTTTATGTTAGAAATTCATTTTTTTAGGTGAATTGCCTTTTCTGTGACCTAAAATCCAAATAATTGTTTTATTTTGGAAATTAATTTCACAATCAGGTGTTTGAGGGACAAAAACAATATTTGTATGTTTGTAGATGTTAATCTTAATAGTTTAGGCAGGATTTTCTCGTTTTTGTAGAAACTCTTTTACTTCCATTTTATGCAAAAAAAAAAAACAACCCAACATTATTTGTCTCTGTATAAAAACTCATTACTCATAATCCACCTGCAGATTTTGCTTATTGCGACTGACCTGACATTATTAGACACGCCTCCCATTCTTTGCCTGTATTAAATCTGACATCAGTGTTTTAAAATGGTCAATAAATTTCTCCACCAGCGAGTATTTCTAAGTACTTTTCCGTATTCCTGCCTCAGATCGGATTTGACCTTTGTTCACATTTAAAATTACACCTAGATTCTCTTGTGAATGTTCTCCGTCTGTCCTCAGGAGGAGGTCAACATCAGGACAAACATCTGGTGCATGGTCATGATGACCCAACAGCAGAAGAATCTACAGCAGAGAAGCATGGGAGGCGACCACTTGTGTTACTGTGCTGCTAAACCAACGGAAGCGTTCTCCAGATGACGGAATCCTTTTCTTTTACATCGGATTACACAAAAACGCCAAAGGAAAAATGTTGGCTGGAATGATGCTGGGCCTTATTGCCAACACCATGGATGTAGTTTTTTTTTTTTTTGGGGGGGGGGGTACATGTCCCCCCACTTGATCCAAAGTCAATTTTTGTCCCCTGCACTTTTTGCAATCCAAAAACAATATTGCGCTACATTCAATAGACACTGGCTGAGCACCGGGACCACCTGTTTCCCGTTAGAACCATCCATAAGCTTATCTATTGGCTCGGCTGATACTTGCTAAAGTTTGATTGGCCGTTCCTGCCACTTGTGTACTTGACAGTTCTGCATTTCTGACATTGCATAAAAGAGCCTCTAGGCTGTTTTATCAGATCAAATCAAATCAAAGATACTTTATTAATCCCAGAGGGAAATTAGAGTTTCAGTACACACAATTCAGAGATCAGACATACATGGGCAAGACACATGACAAGAATTGGTGACTGTGGTCATTCGCATCCCTGAGTCGCGCTACCTTAATAGAGATCAGAGGGTAACATGAGGATTGGTTCAGGTGGAGGGAAAAAAGGCACTTCAGAGTTACCCTCCACCAGGAGGGCAGCTTTGCTCTGCAAAAAAACACCTCAGACAGATATGCAACAGACTTCAGACATCACAACATAAGTGTCCACTAGGTGGGGGGGTGGATTGGGACTATCCCCACTTCAGTTCCTACAGCCACGATAAGCAGCGCATGTCACCTCAGTGTAAGGAGGGGTGGTGGGTTGGGACTATCCCTACTTCAGTTCCTGCAGCCATGATAGAAGAAGCACATGTCACCTCAGTGTGGATAGGGGGGGAGGAGCATTGAGGGTTGGAGGGTTGCAGTGAACCTGGAACGTTTCAGCGGCCTTCCCGCAGTCCCGCCCAGGCTGGGAAAGGAGACAGAGTTGAGTTGCCATAGCGACGGCACATTCCACATATCTTCTGAGGGGGGAGTTTTCGTTGGAGCCTTGCAGGCTCAAGGGCGCCAGATTCTGATTAGAAATAGTTTTGGGGCCAGACAGAGATAATTTCCTCTCTGTCTTACAGTTTGTTGGTCCTCAACCTCTCAGAATCCCAATAATGGACATTAATCTATCCCAATCCGTGCTGATTCGTCCACTCTCTCCTTGATGGCATCCATATTTTGTGCCAATGAATGAATCTCGGCCAAAGTTCCAAGCTTACGATTCATCTAGACAATTATGTGAGTCTGTGAATTCACAGCGCGGTGCAATCCATCTCTGAGCTCCGGGATCAGGCCAATATTCCTCGACAGCTCGTTAATTTTCCGGTAAGCCAGGAAGCCTTGAAGGCCAATGAGCAGGAAACCTGACACCAACACCACGGATATCCACACGTCTTCAGAGTCCCCCACAGACAGCTGAGATAAACAAATCAACTTCCACTGTTTTCAGGAGTCCATGGTGTGTCCAACTGGGTCTGTCCCGGCGGGACATCCGGGAGCCCCTTCTCCCGTTCTCATCGTTGAAAAATTTTTTATCAATCGCGTTGAGAGACCAGCTGACGAGATCCATTTTAGTTAATTTCAGTTTCCAGAAAACATGGAGAAGCAGCCGTGCACCCACAGACAGACAAAGGGCCTTGACGATAAGATATGGAGGAGAGGAGGAAAGAAGCGTCTGCACCCTCTGAGAGCCAGAAGAAGACACATAAATGTGTTTACTTACTGTAAATATACCCCCCACCCCATTCCAGTTGTGTCCCTCTCGCTTCTGAAGTCTAAATTTCAGAGGTGTGACTTTCCATTCAAGTGTCAAGTAAAGTCCAAGTCAAAGACAACCAAGTCCAAGTCCTTAACTTTGAATTTTCAAGTCATAATCAAGTCATTTGTCAAACTTCATTGACAATGATAACAAATAAACTCCAGAATTAAAGCTTCTTAAAGCTTCATTTATTTGCTCAAGCAAGCAGGAAGTGCAGCTGAAACTGATTATAAACAAAGTGCTGCTGCATTCAGCAGTAAATCAAACCCAGAACCAAGAATGATTTATGATTTTTGTCCATGTCGGGCCACTTTTGTGCTAAAATATCAAATGTGCTCAAGTCTTCATCAAGTCAACAGATGCAAGTCTAATCAAGTCGCAAGTCATTGGCATTCAAGTCCGAGTCAAGTCGTAAGTCTTTATAGATTTTATCAAGTCAAGTCAGAAGTCATTAAAATAATGACTCGAGTCCAAGTCATGTGACTCGAGTCCACACCTCTGCTAAATTTTGTCCATGACAAACACAAAGATTTAAGGCTAAAATGTCTTCAGGTTGAAGAAGAAAACTGCTATCTGCTAAAGTAACTACGAACACTTTCAACGTTAGCCAACGTGTATCAACAGATTTTAAAAAGGAGTCCCTTTTGCAACAAAAGCTGCAAACACGTAAGAATCTGACCAACCTTCGCTAATTTTAACCTCCTAGAACGCTGCTTCTTTGCATTAACCTGTTAGAGAAATTATAATGTGCAATGTTCATTGTTAAGGGAAAATGTCTAACTGCTAAAAAAGCTTTTATTCTTCATCAGCAAAGGGAACGCACACAAAAACCTAGTTCAGAAACCATCTACGTCACCATTCCAGCCTTCAGCTCCACGACACTTGGGTGTCTCTCCGGGCACCAGCTCTGCTGCTTCTCTTACAGAACCTCACTTAAAGGCAGAAAGTGAAGTCTTCTAACAACTGAAGCTGAGTCTCTAGGATCCAAGAGGAGGTGGAAGTGATTAAATTAACCATCTGGGCTCGTCTGTGTAGAACCTTGTTAAACCGAATGAGCTGAGATGACACCGTCTCCTGCAGCGTCGTCTAAAAGGCTGCTTTTGTTCCCCAGACCCACAATTACGGTTACAGCTAGGCTAATATCCACGGCCAAGGACTCGTTTGACACGTCTTTTTAGTGGGTTTTGTTCTACGATATTAGCTGAGCTATTAGCTCACATGCTCTTTGTCCTCACAGTGACAGTGGACCACTCTGAGGAGTGAACACAGTGATAATTTAAGCCCCGACTCTGTTGAACAACACCACTTCCTCCCAGACATGCTGTAACTCTACACATCACCACGTCAGCGTTTTTTCTCCTCACCAGTGCCGTTTGAGGAAATGATCGACTTCTGTTGATGAAACACTGATGGGTGAGCGCTTTCATCCAGTCTGCCCATCCAACATCTCATCAAAGGTCATTCCAGCATCCAAAATATGTTTTAAAAGCTGCTTTTGTGCAATTTTAAACCTTACATTTGTTTTAAAAGTTGGAATTTGTGCTTTGGTCTTCTAGGAATGAGTTGTGAAACCACTGCAACACTTTTGGATTGCTGCGTATTAAAGTTTAAACGGATAAACTGGCAGCTTTTATCAGCACTGCTGCTTTGATCAGAGCCATTTTATAATTTGATGGTTTCAGCAATCATGTATGTGTTGCAATCATATATCACACTTCTCATGTTGGTGCTGGGTGTTAAATCCGGTCATTTTTCTATTTAGATATAAAAAAAAGGCCAATAGTTCCTGAGTCGTGGGCAGATTGGTGTGAACTCTTAAATAATCATGTTTACTGCCTGTTATGTTTGATTTCTGCTTTACTCAAACACCAAATCAAACTTCTGTACGTCTTAATTTGACCTTTAAAATAACACAAAGCAACTCTGCCGAGCCTGAAGCAGAATTATTAGCCTCCGGATAATTTTAATTGTTTTACAACCAGTTTTGTTTTTAAACACTGTAACCTTGTGTAATATTCCTGGGTGGTCTCGGTCGGGAATCTGTGTGTTTACAGTTTGCCTGGTCACAAATAAAGAAGCAAAGTTTTTAGTAAAAAGACAATATTGTGTTAGTGAGTGCTGTAAATGCAGATGTTTGCACTTTATGACGAGAATGGAGCACTTTATGGCTGTGGAGAAGAAAAAAGGTGTGTGTGTGTGTGTGTGTGTGTGTGTGTGTGTGTGTGTGTGTGAGTGTGTGTGAGAGGCAATGGTGTCAGCCGGTGCTGGAGATCAGGACTCTCGGTGCACATCGCAGCAGGGGGAGCCGCTTTCAATAGGAGAAAATCACAGTTTGGCTAATTACAGGAAACTAAGAGCGGTGATGATGATAATTTATCTTTCTCCAACTGCTCACGTGTTGTAATCGATGGTTGTAACGTGTCTTTTGTTATCGTTTAAAAATGGCTGCAAGACAGTTTAAGTGATAGCAATGAAGGAAAACACGTTCAAGAGGAAGGAGAAGGAAAACTATTTCACATGACAGCAGGAGGCGACACAGAAGGCTTTAAAGTGATTTATTAAAAATACTGTATAAATAAATACACAATTTAAATAAGAACATGTGAGAGAAATAAAGATTATTTCAGTGTTTTTGTGACAATAAACCATCTCAGCTCCTAAAAGCAGATCACAACAGAAGTGCTCATTCACAGTAGTTCATTTAAACACTCAGATAAATATAAATACACGTCCTCCACGCAGCCATTATAAGATGCTTTGTTCTATAAAGAGCTTTCAGTAGTTGTAGGTTTTTGGGGTTATTCTGAAACACAGAATCTGTTAAGATATATAATAAAGGCCTTAGAAAGAAATCATTCTAAATACAAATCATGTTTAAAATAAAAACAGAGGTTATAGAAGTTGTGAAGAAAATCTGACTTTTTATTTTACTGGGAAGCTGTTGTGAGAATTTTCTTATGTTTAATCTGGATTACTGGCAGTACGTGCAACCTTTATTAAAGGTAACACAATGACACTGTTCAAAATATGCCTGAGTTTACAAAAACAACCACATTAGTGTGCAACACATTTAAATTATATTAAATCTGAACAATCAGGTCAAACGCCTAGATGATGAATCTGAGTGAAACACAGTTTAAAGACGTTTTTTATCACCATCCACTATTATAATCATAACCTTTAACTAATAAAGCTTCAAGCTGGATGAAGCCCACTCAGGTTATTATTTATTACAGTGATTTACGAACTGAAAGACTCCCAAGTGTGTAAATTATGACCCTAAAGCATTACTCGTTAGACTTTAAACCTAAACCAGTGTTTACAAAGTTCTCAGATCTGGTGAGTGAGCCGTTATCTTTCAAGTCACACGAATACGTTCTCTTGTAAGGCCCGGGTCACACGGAGGCCGATATTCAAAGCACGAGAGAGCACTCACAGATCGGATCCGACAGTGTGAGGTGTGCAGCAACTCTGCAAATACTAAACTACACACAAATCGTTTTCACTCTCTGCTCAGATGGGAAATCTCACGAGACAAAACGTGACTTTGAAGTAAACAAACATGGTGGAAGAGGAATGAGCTGCATGCTTCGGTCACCTCGCTTGCTAATTGGCTGCACGTCACATTCAACACGTTCCTTTGTCCCCGAAAATCGTACCAGGACAATCCAACATGTTTGAAAGCTCGGATTTACGTCCCGACGTCCATCCGAGCCGACCAGAGTACACACACAACACAAAAAGTAGGATTACCTGATAGATCTGACCCTAACCCTACACAACCCTTACAGGAAGGCACAGGGCTGGCGAAAAATCTGCATGATTTTCCTGCAGCGGGCTTTAGAGGCAGGAACCTTCACTCGAATGATAAATATTACACAAAATATCAGAGCGTAAGGGAACCTTTAAGCTCAGTTCTTCTGATCTAATCCTCCTCCGGCAACCTAAAGGTCACGTCTGATCACTGCAGTTATGCTAAAGATGGTAAATGGCCTGTATTTGATATAGCGCCTTCTAGAGTCCTGGAACCCCCCAAGGCGCTTTACAACACAATCAGTCATTCACACATTCACACACTGGTGGGGATGAGCTGCGATGTAGCCACAGCTGCCCTGGGGCGCACTGACAGAGGCGAGGCTGCCGAGAACTGGCGCCACCGGTCCCTCCGACCACCACCAGCAGGGTTAGCCGGTTAAGTGTCTTACCCAAGGACACAACGACAGCATTCTCTGGTCAGAGCTGGGATTGAACCTGCAACTTTCTGATTGCTGGACAACCCGCTCCACCTCCTGACCTACTGCTGCAACTTTCTGACTGTTGAATGCATCATGGGGTCAATCAGAGAGTGAGGCTATGATAGTGGTCCTCCTCCACATGTCTGTTTGATCCCGGGAGATTAGTTCGTGTGTAGTGTTGGCCATGTGGCTGGACACCACACGCTGTAGCACCAAAACTGGTAAATCTGTTATTTGTTATTACCACAAATGGTCTCTTGTTTTGAAAATCGTCTGACAACTTAAAAATCCTTCCATGTGAACGGCCCTTTGCCCACAACAGCTCTTGATGGACAATCCTGCTCTCTGGTTTGCTGAATGTTTTATTTGCTCTCCATTTCCATGTTGAGTTGATCCATTTTTGCACAGCAAAAGCAGGGCAGGGTAACATCCATGTCTTCACTCAGGAACCACTGGTCTCCTGGAGCAACAGGATCACGGAGATCAAAAACTTGATTCATGAATGTTGTGGGTCTCTTTTAGGTCCCAAAGGGGGTTTCTGGGCCTCACTGTGGCTCGTGAAACGACAGATGAGGGTCTTGAGAAGTAGCCTGGCCAGCCATGCCAATGCTCCCTTATGGGAAGCAAAGGGCCTGGTAATGCTACCATTCAAACAGCCCCTCCCCCTGAGAATTCTAACCGAGCCAATCAGCACTGAGCAGCGTATGCCACACTTTCCCAAAGAAGATGGCATCTGAAGCTGAGTTCGCTGCCGCTCTTTCCTCTTTCTAAATGACTTGGAAATGTCTTAAAAACCACAACAAGAAGCGCTAAAAGCCTTTCTTCTAGAGGAAGATGGTTGCGTCGTCGCCAGACGCCATCTTTGACCACAGTTAAACAAACTACAGCTAAACGCAGTTGTCATTTTTCAGATCGGTTATTTCTGAGCTGGCTAGTCCCGCCCCTCATGGCGCTCTCTGCCTCCGAGTATTCACGTTGTTCTCTGTGTAGAACAGAGAGAGGGCGAGTCTGGCAGGCCAGGCTACTTGAGAAGATCTATGGAAATCAAATGAACTGTAAAAATGATTGTCATCGACACATTCAGCCTTGTGTGTGTGACACAAAAACAATAACATGTTGCTGCAAGGCTGTCTGTTGTCATTGCAGAGATATTTCACACCCAGTACTGATTCTTTTGCAGGGGAGGGGCAGCAGCTCTAATCATTTGGGAACATGGATAAGAGGAACCATTACTCCAAGAACTTATCAGGACATTTGAATCAACTGTGTCACATGGTGAGATCTGATTCTGGGTCAAAAACCTGTCCAAGGCGGGGCTAGCGGGGCAGGTGGGGTTCAAAGGAGTGACGGTGACCCCGGGAACTGTGGTGCTCCTCAGGGTTTGGTCGTTGTAACTCGGACTGTCTGGAGAACCAGCAGCAGGCTCCTGCAGCGAAGCAGGGCTGTGCTTCCTTCGTTTGTGATGTCGAAAAAAGACAACCAGGATTACGAAAATGAGAATGAGCAGCAGCAGGGCCGTTAGCGGCAGGATGATCAGGAGAGGACTGGAGGTCTTTTGAGGGAAGGACTCAACTCGAACGGGTGTGTTCAGAAAGGGGAAGTCCTCGGTTTGTGACGGTTTGCTGAGAGTCGTACCAAAAAAGTTGGTTCTGTTCGAGTTCCCCCAGCGGTTGCGTCCCTTAAATTTATGTTGGTTTTTAATTGGTTGCAGGGTGGAGAGGAAAGCCGTAGACGGGACAGGGGAAGCGTTGACATTCCTCGAAGACTTGATTGGAGTCAGAGGAATGGGTGATGTGGTAAAGACCGGACTTTCTGAGGTAGGAAAAAGTAGTGGATCATTCGGAACAATCGTGAAGTGGAATTCCCCTTTAGCCGGTTGGATGTTGTCAGCTTTCAGCACAAACACCAGAGAGTCATTCAGCTCCTCAACTCCTGTCATGTTGGCGTTCAGCTCCAACGCTACTTCCTCCTGCATCACTTCCTGAAATGTGAAGGATTCAACTGGACGAACTCTCTTAGACATTTTAGGTTTCGTCTGAACAACTTTCCCATACTTAGGATGGGATATGACTTCAAAGAGAGGGTCGCTGTCGCTCATGTAAGCCAATTCAGAGACATTTAAAAAGCTAGAGCTGAACTTGACGGTAATCCCGTTGGGAATTCTCAAACCTCGGCCAACCTGGATCAAAGGTCTGACAGTTATGTTGAGAACTTGGCCGGTAAGATTAGCTTCTGAAGTGAAGGCAGAGAACCCAAAGCTGTCCTCGGAGGAGGAAAGAGAGGTCATATGATAGAACAGCCTTCCAGATATTAGATCCTCCTGTTTAAATAGAGTAACCTCCTGGTTTTCCATCAGAAGTTTGCCAAAGTTTGGAGGCCTTGTAACTTCGTAGTAAATGGTGACATCTTTCCCGTTTGTCTCGGCAGCTAGGTTGTTCTGGCTCAGAGGAACTGAGGTCTTTCCTTGTTGCAGTGACACTTGAGTATAGTTGACCATTTTGATGGTGATCTCTGACACGTCTATATTAAATAACTTGTATATGGGTTTGTGGTGTCCGTCTGTGACACTGAAGTAAAACACTCCTGAGACAGAACTTCCATCATGGACAAAATAAACACTTCTGTTGTTGATCTGGGCTTGGCTAAATAACTCTACTGACTCATTCAACCTTCCTCCAAGAGCTAGGTAACCGTTGCTTGGCTTGCTAATCACAGAAAATCTAATATCCTCCGGAGAATTGTCCAAATCTTCAACTTTGAGATTTTCTGGCCCAAGTGCAACTCGATCTCCTTGGACCACGTTGAGCCCTGGGGTTTTAACTTTGAGCAAAGGTGGCTGATCATTCACAGGTGTGACTGTGATGTTGAAGCGCTCCACAACAACATCCCTTTCATCTTGAGGGCGTCGTGCAGTTCTGCCTACAGGAAAAAGCCAAGCGCTGAACTCAAAGGAGTCCTGAGTTGTCTCCGAGTTGTCGTGCTGGTAGGTGATGCCGTATTTGTTCAGAATGAACTGGGAGAAGGTGGGCTTCTCTTTGGTGAGGTTTCTCTCACCGACGATGATGACGCCGTGCTGAGGCAGTGATGTCACCTGAAACCAGACCTCATGGGAGCTTCGCAGTGGCGCCGGCAGCTTTGACATCAGGTTAGAGGCGTCCAGCTTGTGCTCGTCAATGACGACACTCTCACCTTCTGCCACCTCAGCACCTAAATAAAACATTTAAGCATTAAAGGGCTCGTTTACCAAGAAACCATGTCACTCGGAGTTGTATATGCATGCTGAACGTGAAAATCTTCTTCACCCCCCCATCGTCGGAATTGGCCGCAGAAAGAAAACAGATGGAAAAACGATCGGTTAGAAAAAAGCAAGACTCTTCTACGATGCAGGCAACACTAGTATTCATGGCCTCGCCCATTGTGGCTTGGGCCCATGAGAAGGGGAGAGCAGAGCACGGCTTAGCTTGTAAAAGCTAACCATTAGCAATAGCACATCCACAACATGGCGGAACACGTTTAAGATTGCAATATTTGTGGACATTGCATTTTTTACTGAAGAAAGAAGAGCAAATGAAGGGCGGGGAGGAGTCGTGCTGCTGTAAGCAAATTGGAGGCCAGACATTTGCATATTATGGAATAATTCATAATTCAGTGCTGTTCTGTCAACCCACTCCTACAACAAACATCAGCCCCCTGAAACAGGAGCATGAGAGCATGCCTCCCAAGGCATTCATGTATTCTACTGAAAAGGAGTGAATGAGAGGTATGAAGCTCGATGCATTTCCCCTTAAAGATGCACCGTTTTTATGCTTCCACCTTTAGAACTGGACACACAGCTGCATAATGAATATTCTTCATACCTGTGTTTGCGAGGAGAACAGTGTTGTGTTCTGGTCCCGTGTTTTCATAAGAGATGTCTATTTTGAAGGTCTGACTCTCTAAGGAAGCAGGCGGTGACGAAACAGAAAAGGTTATCGAGTCCATGGCTTCCCAGCCCACAGACTCAACGGGGGCTTGGATGTAAACAACTTCCCTTCTGTCCACCTGTGGTACAAAAACATCACAGCTCTAATCAGCCAGCTGAATCAGTTGTAAAGAGAAAGAGTCTGAAATTGAATCACTAGTCTACCTGTTGGATGTCATCAGTTATTTAAATCTGAGGTAAATACAGGAAAAGCATTTCGACTTTGATAATGTCAGACGAAAACCCATCAAAAATAATTCCATGAAAGGTCTACATGACCTTTTCAGCTAAGCAAGCACCAAGTCAGTGTCCAACAAGGATGGAGGTCATGTATTACTCATGAAAAACAGTGGAAATCTGGCGACGCTCCACATGAAATCTAATATTTAAACACACATCCCAAGAATTCACATTTTACTCGTCGTCTTCCTCCGCTTATCCGGGTCGCAGGGGCAGCATCCCAACTAGGGAGCTCCAGACCGTCCTCTCCCCGGCCACCTCCACCAGCTCCTCCGGCAGGACCCCAAGGCGTTCCCGGACCAGATTGGAGATGTAACCTCTCCAACGTGTCCTGGGTCGACCCGGGGGCCTCCTGCCGGCAGGACATGCCCGAAACACCTCCCCAGGGAGGCGTCCAGGAGGCATCCTGACCAGATGCCCAAACCACCTCAACTGGCTCCTTTCCATCCGGAGGAGCAGCGGTTCTACTCCGAGTCCCTCCCGAATGTCCGAGCTCCTCACCCTATCTCTAAGGCTGAGTCCGGCCACCCTACGGAGGAAACTCATTTCGGCCGCTTGTATCCGCGATCTCGTTCTTTCGGTCATTACCCAAAGCTCATGACCATAGGTGAGGATCGGGACGTAGATCGACCGGTAAATCGAGAGCCTGGCTTTCTGGCTCAGCTCCCTCTTCCCCACGACAGATCGGCTCAGCGTCCGCATCACTGCAGACGCCGAACCAATCCGCCTGTCGATCTCCCGATCCCTCCTACCCTCACTCGTGAACAAGACCCCGAGATACTTAAACTCCTCCACTTGAGGTAGGACCTCTCCCCGACCCAGAGTTGGCAAGCCACCCTTTCCCGGTCGAGAACCATGCTCTCAGATTTGGAGGTGCTGATCCTCATCCCAGCCGCTCCTCCTTGAACCGTCACCTTATCGTGGTGGAGGAGTTTGAGTGCCCTAATGATCCTAGGAGCTATGTTGTCTGGGGCACTTTGTGCCCCTGGTAGGGTCTCCCATGACAAATGGGTCTTAGGTGAAGGGTGAGACAAAGAACGGTTCAGAAGATCTTTCATGGATGTAAAATCTAAGAGTCGGAGTACCCGGCCCGGAGGGTTACCAAGGTCCCACCCTGGAGCCAGGCCTGGGGTTGGGGCCCGTGAGCGAGCGCCCGGTGGCCGGGCTTTCGCCCATGGGGCCCGGCCGGGCCCAGCCCAGACCGGATACATGGGCTCATCCAACTGTGGGCCCACCACCCGCAGGAGGAACATGAAGGGTCCGGTGCAGTGTGGATCGGGTGGCAGACCGAGGCGGGAGCCTTGGCGGTCCGGTCCCCAGACAAGAAAACTGGTTTTCACATTTTACTGATGTACTTTTCTAAAAACGAGACACAGCTTCATGCTTCATCATTCACTTCTCACCATGCTTTGTGTGAAAGTAGAGATGTCCTCCGTTGTGTTATCTGACAGTGTCTTCACCAGACGCCCCAACTTAGGAGGCCGAACCACGCTGAACGTAACGACCCGGGTTGAGCTGTTGCTGACATCGTTGGTCACGGCTTCTAAATCCTCATTTGTGATTGGTCTGGAAGAACCTGAGAATTACAAAAAAAAGTTGGCTAACTGTGGCTACACTGCTGCTACGTCAAACCTAATGCTAACTGTCCCCCTCTGGAAGTGATTTGCATCTTTTAAAACTCCAAATACAAAAACAAGGCCTGGAAAAGACACACCAAGTCTTTTGATGTGCCAAATGAAAGCAGCAACACAGAGATCAAAGACATTTTTACAACGCTGTCCGACTGCCGTGTAGGGAGAGTTATATAAACTCCAAACAAGACATTAAAAGCTCTGTGCTGGCGCAGATCTTTCATTTGGGAAAAAGATGCAGCAGCCATATAAAATCTGACGCTCCAAAACAAGAATACATAAAAATGGATAAATGATGGAAGGCAAAGGTAGAAGAGAGAATAAAGCTAAATTATCCGTCACTTCTAGGAGAGAATAACACTTTGTGTCTTGGGAAGAAACCATTTCAGAACAAAATGAGGCATGTACTGAATCAGGAAGAAGAAAATAATATTGTTTAAGTAGGAAAACAAAACCCCGTCTATATAAAACATCAATCAAATCAAATCAAAGATACTTTATTAATCCCAGAGGGAAATTAGAGTTTCAGTACACACAATTCAGAGATCAGACATACATGGGCAAGACACGTGACAAGAATTGGTGACTGTGGTCATTCGCAACCCTGAGTCGTGCTACCTTAATAGAGATCAGAGGGTTACATGAGGATTGGTTCAGGTGGAGGGAAAAAAAGACACTTCAGAGTTACCCTCCAGCAGGAGGACAGCTTTGCTCTGCAAAAAAACACCTCAGACAGATATGCAACAGACTTCAGACATCACAACATAAGTGTCCACTAGGTGGGGTGGTGGGATGGGATTATCCACACTTCAATTCCTGCAGCCATGATAAGCAGCACGTCACCTCAGTGTGGATAGGGGGAGGAGCATTGAGGGTTGGAGGGCTGCAGTGACCCTGGACGCTTCTTTAAATAAAGATCAAATGCAGATCTCTAAAAGGTAAAAGCACCTGAAACAAGTTCAACTATCAGTAAAGTTTCACACTCAGAAGTGTTTGCTGTTTGTGAGTAAAAGGAAAATCATTTCTTTTCCACCACAGTGAAAAAGTGCCCCCCCAATGAAAATCCCTCATTGTGATTTAAAGCTCCCATTCCGAGCCTCTTCCTGTGTCCCGCCTGGCACGGAGCACCAACTGGGACAGAACCCGCTCTCTAAGGACCCACTCGTCCTGCGGAGCATGCCAGCTGGCCGTTTGCTGCTCTCACAACGGCAGCTCCTTCTAATTCACTAAGCAAACTCCTAAAAATTCTCTGGAAAGCGTTTGGAGACACAGACGACACCCGTTTAATGATTTAACGACTTGGACGTTGGTGAGGCTCTAAATTATAAAACCAGAAGGAATTCTGGAAAGCTTATTAGAGGGCAGAGCTCACAAATGGGCTAACTTTTAAAGACACGCCTAATGAGAAACTAAAGGCGTTAAACACAAAAACACCGACTGTTTTCTCTCAAATGGGCTGTTTAAAAGAGAATGCTTCCACTTTGACTATGGGTGTTTTTAGAGTGTGTGGAGTTATAGCGAAAAACGAAGACCAATTACATTTTCTGCTGCCAGTTTTCATAACCCCGGCTTTCCACAGCAGCCGTCAGCAGCACGTTACTGCAGCAGCACGTCATAGCTGCTGATAGGAACGGCTGTGGTCAACAGAACCTCTTCCACCGGAGCCGTCAGCAGCGCGAGTCGGCCGCGTCTCAGGAGCAGCATGTCGCGGCCTTTACGCGCCGGTTCTATTTCCTACGCGCGACGCCTCTGAAACGGGTCAAGTTCGACATTTTTGGGGAAGGAAAGACAGGAAATCGGACGCGGAAATGGAGAGAAGCTCCCGAGATTTTCAGAATAAAGAACGTACTGCCTTCCGGTCACTTTACTTTAAAAAAGGTTACTAACTGTGCGTCCCCGTGAGAAGTTATCACCTAGCTAGCGGTCTCCTTTGTTTTTCAGGTCCGTATTGGCGATTATAAAACGGACAGAACATAAAACACAAACATTTTGGAGCCATGTTGTAGTTTTCTCCTGCTTGTTGTTGTGTTTACTGACGAAGTCACTCGTGTGACTTCGTGCCCTGTCGGTGACAGCTGCTCCTCTGCTGCGTCGCGTCTCGTGGGAAGGGCCAAGCAGCAGCTAGACGTGCTGCTGCAGTAACGTGCTGCTGACGGCTCCCGTGGAAACCCGAAATACGTTTAAACATCAGACGTCCTCCTAAAGTCTAATTAATTCTGATTCATAACAAAAATCGCCATCACAGATGTAATAATCCAACATGGTTACCCAGAGTTATAATAACTGTAAATGTGGATAATGTGTATAAAAACCCGACAGACTAACGGTATTTTCTGTTTCTAAACACCAGATCTCTTTATCCCCTTGAATCTTTCATTTATCCTGAGAAGGTCCCAGCAGCGTATTAACATCCAGACAACCACTAACTAAAACGTAAAGGGACTTTACGGAGTTTTGAATTTTTATGCTCGTGATTGCCCCCTCAGGCCAAAAGCGTAACGGCAGCTTCAATAGTAGGCTCATGCACGAGGCGTGCATGCTGTACGTGCACACTCCTTAACGAAAATAACAGCTGAGACAGTCCCGTGTGTGTGTGTGTGTGTGTGTGTGTGTGTGTGTGTGTGTGTGTGTGTGTGTTTGTGTTTGTGTGTGTGTGTGTGTGTGTGTGTGTGTGTGTGTGTGTGTGGCCCGGAGGACAGACGACAGGAGAACACGCAGCTAATAAATTAAATAATTTGGTTCTGTACCTTTCTCTTCAGCACAGTCGACAAAGGTTTATGATGGGTCAGTCCTCCTGCATGCTGTCACACCCTGTCCTGTCTCCCCATTCTGTTCAGCCACGTGTCTGTTAATTGCTCCCACCTGCCTCTCGTTTTCCAATCACCCAAGCTCCCAGCCCTCTTGTATTTAAACCCCTCCAGCTCTGTGTCTCTTGTTGGCTCATTGTTCCCATGTCCTGCGTGCATTTGTTATTAAAACCTTTTACGTTACTCAGTTTGTCTACCTGCCTGATTCCTCCCCAGCGTGTGGATCCTCACCTCCGTTCCACTCACCGGCACGGCGTGACACATGCTCAGATCATTCCCTTCCCTTGCTTGAAAAATTGTTCCAAAATGAAAGTTGAACCCACATCTTTTTTATCTGTGAATCCAATGCCGTTCGGCGAGTCTCAAATAAAAATTTGGGCGTCTTACTGTAAAAAAATATACCATTAATGTAAAAAAGAAACTCAAAATAAACTATGTTCACATCCAGAATCAAACCCAGGACTTCTGCATGAGAGTCAGACATCTTACTAGGTGAGCTACACTCTAGTAACATTCACAGTATCTGTAACATTTATATCCTTGATGGCAGCTGAAACAACGTCAAACCAAAGAACGGTTCGGAGTGAAAATGGCTATTTTGTTGCTAATTTGCAGGAAATATCTAGAAGAAAGTTGTACAGAAAGTAGCTAAGGGTCCTCAGAAATGTAGCTAGCTTTGTCACTAGGCGTTAGGAACAGCGACAAAGTGGCACTGCCTCTCTCTCTGCTGCTAAAGCTACGGATAGCAAACGCTACGGGCGATGCCTGAGCGTGAACGCGCATGAAGCAGCCTGCTCGACCCGAGCATCTCTCTTTTTCTGTGATTTTACAGAAAAACAGGCAATCACAGTAAAAATGCCAGGGCTCATTCTACAGGACCAGGGCATTGCAGGAGAATGTATGAAGAAGACATTTATTATTTCTATACATGTTCTGGCTGTCACACTTCCATAATGTCCCTTTAAGAGTTCTTAAAGACCAAGTGCTGATGCGATCTAGAAAAGTCAGTCAAGCTTTTCAATAATAGTTCATTAGAGTCTGTGAGGGTGTCATGGGAGGGCAGAAGCATTCAGTGGTACACCAGTAATTTGCTGATTTGTTGTTGCAACCAGAGGGCGGGGCTTACCTGGAAACACCTTGAGTGGGCGGTTCTTCTCCAAACTGAGAACTAAGGCCTTAGCTGTGATGCTAAAAATCTGCCTAGGGCTAAAATTCACTCCATCATTGACTTGGAAGCTGAATCCACCAGACAAGGCACCTGGAAATGACATGAATCAGACAATCAAGCTACGAACTAAGTTATGAAGTTTGTGTCTCACATTGAACAAAATGGTCAATGTGTCAAATTTAAAGTAGATATTTTTGTTTTCTACAAAATATAAATGAAAAAAGCCTTAATGAGCTTTTTTCTGGTTCTAATTTAAAAGAAAGTACGACACATTTGTATTCTGTGCCTTGAAAACACACAACTGTGTGTTTGTTGGGTAAAAAAAGAGACTGCTGGATGAATGAGGAGCTATGTGGATCTATTATAGGAGCCTTTACTTGATGCACAAGAATAAAAAGCAGCCAGAAAAGAAAGCAGTAAGCAGAAACATGACATGAAAGCTGCAGAGACTTCCTCCTGATTTATTTTAAACTGCCAACAGCGCCGTCTAGTGGAGGGAAAATGAACAGCAAAAACAGGAGGATGAATCATGTTTAGTTGAAAGGAAATAAATCTGACAGCAAGTTAGAGAAACCAAATCTTTTCTTCAACAGAAACGACATTTACCTTGTAGAGATTCTGACAGATTTATAATTAACAGTGCTTACTTAGGTTTTTGGCCAATTATAATGCCAAAAGTGGATGACTGAAATTCTTTTGTAAATAAATCAAAAGCTCTGTTACCTTTGTGAGCAAACAGCAGCTGACCCTGGTCTATGTGGGCCTGTGTGAAGTTCAGCACAGCCTTCATGGGGTTGCTCTTCAGGGCCAGGTGTCCATTGCTGGGAGGGGTCACCATGAAGTGTAGCTCGTCCTGGGGCGTGTCCAGGTCCTGCACCATCAGATCCTCCTGTCTGATTTCTGTGATCGATGACACCCAAACCTAACAAGAAAACACAACACAACAGGTAACTAACATCTTCTACCTGCCACAAAAACCACCTCATACTTGTGCACAGTCAGTGAAAACCATACTGTTCAGATCGAGGACTTCTCATTACTAGACAGTCATGAGAATACCGCCGTTTAAAATAACGGCGTTACCAGCGGAGTGCTTTTTTTGGGTAAAGGAATAATCTAATTACTTTTCCCACTGTTGCAACGCCGTTACCATTACTGGGGACGGAAGGTTGTGCGGTACTATGTGCTTGTCGAACGTTGAGCAACAGTGTGAGGCTTTCTGACCGCCACACTTCAGCTGCAGCCAGGGAGAGAGAGGTGTCGGTAACGCGCTTACAAACACGATGATGATTACCATACCACCTTTATTTATGTAGCACTTTAAAAGCACAGCCATACGGCTGACCAAAGTGCTGAACAGTCGCACAACAATGGAGATAAAAAACATAAAACAGTACTATAAAATACAGCCAACAATAAAAAAAGACAAGCCGACAAAAAAAGTACCAATGAAATCTTACAATGGATGATAAAATAGTAGTAAAAGCCAAACTAACAGCTAACTGTTAAAAGCAAGGGTAAAATAGTGTCTTTAGTCTAGACTTAACATCTGCCAAGGTGGATGCCAGTCGAACAGTGACTGGAAGTTCGTTCCACAGTTCTTCAGGAGCTAAAGAGGCAGATGTTTTCATCCATGGCCCGTGAAGAACGAGGTACACGTGATGAATAGTCTTGTAGCGTTGGGAAGTTTGTGGTGGTCTGCCCTTAACAGCTGCCCCTTCACACAGTAACACCGCCAAGGTCGGACGCTTGGTTCAGTATGTTTACATTCCAGGAGAAGAGACAGAAGAACAGAAGAAGAACGCTTTCCATTGATTAATCAAAGTACTTTATTTGTGATAAGCTAATCAAAGCATTTGTTGATCATTAATAATCAGGTGAATGATCTGTGAAATAAAGATGTCATGAGTTATGTGTTTAAATGAACAAACAGGGCTGCACCAGTCACACTGATATGCATTACCATGGAAACGCATGACACATTGTTTTCAACCAATCAGAACTTTCGTCTGTCGTAGGGAAGAATCTGGTTTGTTTATGAAAGTAGTCCAATCCGGTTTACTAAGATTCTTAAACAAGTGGGAGATATAAAAAGAAGGCAACACCATTTTAAGTTCAGTTCCACGTTACGTTCCAAGTTAAGCAGTTACATGTTGAACTCAGCTCCAGGACATCCGAGTTCCTAAGGATTTCCATCGTCATCATTAAGAAGTTCAGACTGGCCAGCTGGACTTCCTACTTTGAGCTGAAATCTGTCAAGCTGGAGATTTTCCGTCGTTTTTACCAACGATCCGGCGGTCCTTCAAAATAAGAGAGAACTTGCTGACGCCTGCCAACCACTAACGGAGTTATCCTCAGACGGGCGTTGTGTGCGGCGACCGCTGTTTCACCAGCTCCAGTACAACCGAGGTCTTGGAACCTGGCAATTCCTGATCTACACGGAAGACTCCTTCTAAGGTACGGCAAATGGCGGCTCATGTCATCAGCTTCTGAAGCCTCGTGGTAGCCTAGTCATAACAAACCAGACTCGCTACGTCAGCCTAGAGATTCTGAACAAAACACACACACACACACCAACACGAAACATCTACATCCATATGCATCCATCATTGAGATAGTCCTGGTAGAGTGTAAGAATTTATAATTATAGAAATTAAAGATTCTTAAACGATCCCAACTCTCTCTCTTTCTTGTCTCTCAGTCAATACAGAGTGTTTAAGTAAACTCCCTGATGATAAAAACGACCACTTCTGATTGATTACTTAGATTGTATGAATATACAAAATCAGGTAATTAAATTATCTAATTACAGTATATAAATATACAAACTTCTAATCGCAATAGTCTACAGCTGCAGGTGTGGATCTGCAGCCGTGCCAAGGCGGGGGTACGCGGGGCGGCGGCCGCCGATCTCCTCCACCTAGCCTGTCCTTGTCCAACCGTTTCGGTGCCTTGGGAGTTGGATTTTCCTCCTCTGCCAGCCCCTGGCCGTGACTTTACAGGACCCTCCGAGCCGCTGAAGGGGACCAGCTGAACGGCAGCGGCCCTCCACGTCGCACAACCCCCCAGACTGAAGCTGGGACCCACCAAGGAGCGCTGACTTCTCGTCGCTGCAGTCCTGGGGGAGCTCAACCCATCACTCAGCAGGTCCCGGAAGGGTCCTCTGCCCAGCTTCAACCAACTACCACACCCACACTACCGCCACCACCACCAACCACTCTCACCGTCGAGGACTCCATCATCCGTAATGTCAGGATGAGAGGAGCCCTGACCTTCTGTTACCCCGGAGCTACAGTGTTGGACATTGCAGGACACATCCCAGACCTCATCCAGAAACACACAACAGTGAGTAGAATCATCATCCACGCCGGTACCAAAGACATCCGTAAGCAGCAGTCAGAGCTCCTCAAGCGTGACTTTATTCACCTTTTTAATCTTTAAGAACTATGCACCTGTCTGTTTTTATCTCTGGCCCCGCTCCCACCATGGGCAGAGGAATCGGCCATTTTAGCAGACTTTTATCATTAAACACCTGGCTTTCCTCTGCCACCGTGATCCGTAATGTTGGTTTTATAGATAATTTTAACATTTTCTGGGGCAGGAGACACCTGTTTGGAGCGGATGGGCTTCACCTAAATAGACAGGGGACCCGGACTCTAACCATGAGCCTGGCTTGTCCACGACCCCCCCTGTCTACTCCACCGGCCTCATCTGCTCCCACTTCCTGATGTGTAGCTGGTCCCTGCTCCTACCAACCCCACCTTGATTTTAACAGTAAATCACATATCGGACTTGGACCTTGCCATACCTCATTCATACCTGTTATTATCAGCAGAGAGCGGACAAACAACCATAAACCAAACAAAAGCAACCCCAATAATCTAAAACAGTTACCAAAAGTCCCACCTTCAGTTAATACAGTCACTCCATCACCTGTTACTGTTAATCTGGCTCTTTTAAATGTTCGCTCTCTGCTGAACAAAACGTTTTAATAAATGACCTGATTTTAGATCCTAATCTTCACCGTCTGCTTTTAACAGAAACATGGCTGAGTTCAGATGCACCTGTTGTTCTCACAGAGGCCTCTCCGCCAGATTTTAATTTTTATTTTTCAACGAGGAGAAGCAAAAGGGGAGGCGGTACTGCTTTTATTAGTTCATCAATACTTTCTGCCAAACCAGTTTTATTTGATAATTTTACCACTTTTGAATATACAGCGGCAGTTTTTAGCTCTCCTCAGATTTTATGTGTGACAGTTTATCGGCCTCCTAAGCAGAGTGCCATTTTTATTCAAGAATTTTCAGAGTTTTTATCAATCCTGCACAACTCCTTTGAAAGGATCGTTTTAGCCGGTGATTTTAATCTACATATAGATAATCCATCTGATCCTTTTTCAAAGGAGTTTTTAAATATTCTGAGTTATATGGAGTTTAGTCAACATGTCACACAGCCGACTCACAACAGAGGACACACCCTGGACTTGGTCATCACGTATGGCCTGTCCACCAGTGTGTCCTCTGTTATTGATTTGGCTGTCTCCGATCACTACTGTGTATTTTTTAGCATCACCTGTTTTATCCAGCTGGAACCCTCTGTGAGAACTGTAAGGAAGCGTCACCTCACCCCTGAAGTGGCTGCAGGTTTTCATGAAGTTTTTAGAAAGATCCCTCCCACTCCGGTAACTGCCTCTTGTGATTTTACTGTCAGTGATTTTAACAGTAGACTGAAATCCGCTCTCGACCTGCTCGCTCCGCTTAAAATCAAAAGTCTTTATTAAAAACGTGCTTCACCGTGGAGAAATGAAAATCTAAAGAAACTAAAGAGAAACTGCAGGGTTGCAGAGCGGAGATGGAACAACTATAAATCATCAAATATACAGGTGCTGGCCAGTAAATTAGAATATCATCAAAAGGTTGAAAATATTTCAGTAATTCCATTCAAAACGTGAAACTTGTACATTATATTCATGCAATGCACACAGACCAATGTATTTCCGATGTTTATTACGTTTAATTTTGATATTTATAGGTGACAACCAATGAAAACATCAAATCTGGTATCTCAGAAAATTAGAATATTCTAAAGGCCAATGAAAAAATGTTTGTTTCTCTAATGTTGGCCAACTGAAAAGAATGAACATGAAAAGAATGTGCATGTATAGCACTCAATACTTAGTCGGGGCTCCTTTTGCCTCAATAACTGCAGTAATGCGGCGTGGCATGGACTCGATCAGTCTGTGGCACTGCTCAGGTGTTATGAGAGCCCAGGTTGCTCTGATAGTCGTCTTCAGCTCCTCTGCATTGTTGGGTCTAGCGTATTGCATCCTCCGCTTCACAATACCCCATAGATTTTCTATGGGGTTAAGGTCAGGCGAGTTTGCTGGCCAATCAAGGACAGGGATACCATGGTCCTTGAACCAGGTGCTGGTGGTTTTGGCACTGTGTGCAGGTGCCAAGTCCTGTTGAAAGGTGAAGTCTGCATCCCCATAAAGTTGGTCAGCAGCAGGAAGCATGAAGTGCTCTAAAACTTCCTGGTAGACGGCTGCATTGACCCTGGACCTCAGGAAACAGAGTGGGCCAACACCGGCAGATGACATGGCACCCCACACCATCACTGACGGTGGAAACTTTACACTGGACCTCATGCAACGTGGATTCTGTGCTTCTCCGCTCTTCCTCCAGACTCTGGGTCCTTGATTTCCAAAGGAAATGCAGAACTTGCTTTCATCAGAAAACATAACTTTGGACCACTCAGCATCAGTCCAGTCCTTTTTGTCCTTGGCCCAGGCGAGACGCTTCTTGCGCTGTTTCTTGTTCAAGAGTGGCTTGACACACGGAATGCGACACCTGAATCCCATGTCTTTCATGAGTCTCCTCGTGGTGGTTCTTGAAGCGCTGACTCCAGCTGCAGTCCACTCTTTGTGGATCTCCCCCACATTTTTGAATGGGTTTGTCGTCACAATTCTCTGCAGGGTGCGGTTATCCCTAGAGCTTGTACACTTTTTTCTACCACATTTTTTCCGTCCCTTCGCCTGTCTGTTAATGTGCTTGGACACAGAGCTCTGCGAACAGCCAGCTTCTTTAGCAATCACCTTTTGTGTCTTGCCCTCCTTGTGCAAGGTGTCAATGATTGTCTTTTGGACAGCTGTTAAGTCAGAAGTCCTCCCCATGATTGTGGTGCCTTCAAAACAAGACTGAGGGACCTTTTAAAGGCCTTTGCAGGTGTTTTGAGTAAATCAGCTGATTAGAGTGGCAGCAGGTGTCTTCTATATTCAGCCTTTTCAGAATATTCTAATTTTTTGAGATACCAAATTTGGAGTTTTCATTAGTTGTCACTTATGAATATCAAATTTAAATGTAATGAACATTGGAAATACATTGGTCTGTGTGCATTGCATGAATATAATGTACAAGTTTCACGTTTTGAATGGAATTACTGAAATATTTTCAACCTTTTGATGATATTCTAATTTACTGGCCAGCACCTGTACACAGAGCTACTTAAATCATATAATAACGCAGTGAGAAATTCAAGACACGCATACCTTTCCAAACTCATTCTAGACAATAAACACAATCCCAGAATACTTTTTTCCACCATAAACAACATTTTAAACCGTACTTCCAATTCACCTCAGAAAACACCCTCAAATGCGCTCTGTGAGGAGTTTGCAGCCCACTTCAGAGGGAAGGTAGACACCATCAGACGGAATATTTTACCCTCCATAAGTAATAAGGTCTTAGATAAATCTGGATGTGTGTCTATACCAGAGGAAACACTGGACAGCTTTGTCCTGGTAGAAGCTGAGACTCTTAACAAAGTTTTCTCCTCAGTGAGACCCACCACGTGTGTTCTGGACCCGATTCCAACTTCGTTCTTTAAACAATTTTATGGATCTTTTAGAGACGAGATTTTAACCATGATGAATTGCTCCCTTCAGACGGGGGTCTTTCCTGCTGCCTTTAAAAGGGCGGCGGTGAGGCCCCTGTTGAAGAAGAGCAATTTAGATTTTAATGAATTAAACAATTATCGACCGATATCCAACTTATCATTTTTAAGCAAAATTTTAGAAAAGTTGGTTTTAAATCAACTAAATGATTTTATAAACACTAATAATGTCCAAGAGAAATATCAGTCTGGTTTTAGTGTGAACCACAGCACCGAGACAGCCCTTCTGAAGATTTTAAATGATTTTAGAGTAAATTATGATAAACAGAAGTTGACAGTGTTGGTTCTGCTGGATCTACGTGCTGCCTTCGATACGGTAGACCACACTGTTCTTTTAACTCGTTTACAACAGATCGGCCTCTCTGGTGCTGTACATAGATGGTTCACATCCTACCTCACAGACAGGACTTTCATGGTGAGTTTGGATACCTGTTCCTCTAGGGTCCATGGGATTACATGTGGTGTGCCCCAGGGTTCAATTTTAGGCCCAGTGCTTTTTAATCTTTATATGCTCCCTCCTGGCGGTGTCATCAGGAGACACGGGGTTAACTTTCATAGTTATGCTGATGATACACAGTTGTACATCTCCGTGTCTCCGGATGACTCTCGGTCAATAGAAGCACTTTTTAACTGTATTTTAGACATCAAATCCTGGATGGCAGAGAACTTTCTCCAGCTCAACCAGGACAAAACTGAAGTTTTAGTCATCGGTCCTGAGGCCCAGAGAGAGAAGCTTTTACCGAAATTACAATCTCTGTCTTTTAATCCATCTGAACAAGTGAAGAACCTGGGTGTGATTTTTGACTCTGAGCTGACTTTTATCCCACACATTAAAAATATCACAAAAATAGGTTTTTATCATCTAAAGAACATCGCCAGAGTCCACCCCATTCTCTCTTGGGCCAATACGGAGATGCTGATGCTTTTATCACCAGTAGGATAGACTACTGCAATGCCCTGCTTTCTGGTCTTCCCAAAAAGAGCATCTCAGGCTTACAACTTCTACAAAATTCAGCAGCACGTGTCCTGATGAAGACCAGGAGGCGGGAGCACATGACACCAGTTTTAGAATCATTGCATTGGCTCCCCGTATGTTTCAGGATCCATTTTAAGGTTCTTCTAATGGTTTTTAAGTGTCTTAACGGTCTTGGGCCTTCTTATCTATCAGACCTGCTTTTACAATATGAACCCTCGCGGCCTCTGCGCTCCTCTGGCAGGCGTCTCCTGGTCATCCCTAAAGTCAGGACACACACTCACGGCGAGGCGTCCTTCCAGTGTTATGGCCCTCGCCTCTGGAACGAGCTGCCGGAGGACCTCAGGGCTGCAGAGAACGTTCATGTTTTAAAGTCCAGACTCAAGACCCATCTTTTTAGGTTAGCTTTTAACTAAATATTTACTACAGTTTTATTTCTCGTTTTACATGATTATATTTTATTGCTTGCTTTGCATGTTTCATATGATTATATTTTAGCAGTTTTATTATTTAATATGTAACATTCCAGGATCTTTGTGTCCCCTCCCCCTGCCACACCTGGTGTGGAGTGCGGTGCCTTGGTCTGCCTGGGTCGTGGCTCCCCCGCTGATACTTCTGCATTTATCAGAAGTTAGTTTAGTTTAGCATTTGCTAAAGAAGCCCTTTTGTGTTGTGATCTACCATGTGACTTTATTCATAAAGGGTTTTATTTACCAATTATTAAGATTTGAATAGGAAACTCAAAAACTGAATGGGGGTGTGTACTTACAGTTTATAAAACTGAGCCTAAACACACAAACAGACGTTGTCTCACACTCTGCTTTACTGGAACCTGAGGGGCTTTTTACATTTCTGCTTGTAAACCTCACAACCAGCCACACTTGTCACACCAACCCTGCAGCAGAACACCCACCCACACTTGTCCATCACTCTCACATGTGGGTGCATGTTTCCCTGGTGGGAGACAACTACACATTCACTAATCTCTGCTTTAACAGGAAGTTGCAGCAGGATGGATGAACTGAGTAACTGTGAGTCATCTAACTCAAAGAAAAGACACATGAGATTAATTTGTACTAAAAGCCCCGTGGAGTTAAAGATCAGTTCCTGACACATGGCCGGATGTTCATCGGGCTGCACGTTAAGAGACAACAGGCAGAAGGCTTTATCCCATCTTGGCTCACAAAACCCAAACTGCAACGTTTCACTTTTGGGATTAAAACAAAGATTCCTATAATTGGATCAGACGAGGTGTTTATTTTCCCTATAAAATCACATTCAGTCAACTCTGACTCTATTTTTCTCTCTAGTCACTCTTGTGTGCCCCCCCCCCCCCCCCCCCCGAGGCGTCCGCGTCCCAGATTCAGAACTACAGCAAGATGATCGTGAACAATAAACTCTTATGACAAGAAACTGGGAGACTGCCTGCAGGAGACTCGCCCTCAGAGCAGTTTAAAAACCCCAACAACCCTGGTTTCAGCCACTTATAACCTGTAAAACGACAAAAATCACTGAAGGACCATTACTTTGTCTGCTCTGATGGCACAGTTTGGGTCTGAGACGGACTCTGAAAGGATGATTGGTGCCGGGATGCAAAGACGAGCTAACAGCCAGTTCATAGGGAGCGACTGATCAAATGAGATAATTAGCTTTTATGAATATGATGAATCAGAAAATAAGTTAAAAACCACATAAAAAAAAGAAAAACAACAAGAAAAACTATCAAGTCTTTAAGTTATCAGTATTCAAGGCTTCATGTGCAAAGTGCAAAGTGGTGGTGGGGAGCCACCTAGTGGCCATTTAGGTTTATACGTTTTAAAGATTTCTGACTTCACTGTTCAAATAAAAAAGTCCTGATTATTAAACAGATCAAGCTTATGTAAATAAAAACTGTCAGAATAATCAGATAAAGTAATAACAGCAGTTAAACAAACGCCTCTAACCTCTTGAAACCTGCCCGAAATGTCTGGAAATATAGTTTCAGTCCTTAAGTTTAATCAAGGCTTTTATAAAAGTTATTTTCCTTCTTTTCTTTTACTGTTTTTTAATTTGACTTTTTTATTTAGTTTTTCTTTTTACATTTTCAAAAACCTTTTTTTCCAAATTTTTTTGAAGACTTGAAAAGATTTGCACAAGTGATCAAATGTCATCACTCCCCCAATAAAGGGTTAAAAATGATCAACCTCTGATAATAATAACCCTTTAATAAACTTATTTTCCAGTTTTCTTTAATGACATAAGCTTTAGAAGTGGATCTTTTCTGGAGCTGCGTGATAACAAAAACATTTAAAAATCGCACCTAGATGATCTTCTTACTTAGCTGCAGATACCACCATCACTCACTGTAGACATTAAAAAACGCAGTTATTTGTGTGTATATTTATAGTGTGTGTATAATGGTGAGAGTAAAGGCAACCAGGCCTTTCTCTGGTTAGAAGTACTTTTAAGTCAGCTGCACAAACGTTGCTCCCTATCAAAGTCCCTCAGACAGTAGTAACACTGTTTATGTGGATTTGTTTGGCGTGTTAACACATAAGCACCTACACAGACTTTCTGACATAGTTAGGGCGCCTCCAAATACAGGGCACTGACTGCTCTGAGAGCCTCCGCCACATAGCAAACATAGTTTCCATCCTTCAGCCAGCCAGCCTGTTATGGAAACCTGCAACACCAACCCCATGACAATCTTTTGACAGAAGGCTATGGTGCCAGTCCTGCTGGCTAAGAAAAGTGTCCAGAGTTTAAATTTAGAGGCGCAGTGCAGACTCACCCTGAGGACCCTGTTGGCTGTAATAACAGGAGGCTCGTCGTTGACAGCTGTAACCTCGATGTAAACCGTCCGGGCGGAACTGTGCTTCCTCAGGGCCGTGTCGTTGGCCACCACTGTGAAATTGTCAGCTAGGCTTTCGCTGCTGTCGTGGACGTAGTAAATAAATTCATGTTCCACCTGATAAAAAAATCACACCACAGACTGGAATGACGCGAGAGCATTTAAAACACAGCAGCCACATGCTACGCTAAACACTTGATATTTATATTTTTTCCACCCAGGAAAATGTCTTTTACCGCTTTGGAACGGCACTTTTAGACGTGTCTGTTTGGATTTCTCACCTGTCTCCTGGTGAAAGTGGTTAGAGGCACACCGGGATGTCGAGAGTGCTCTACGTGACCGTGATGCGGCACCTCTGTCAAGCTATAAAAGAAGTTGACTCCAGAAAAGTGTCGGTTGGTTACTTTGAGCACATCCTGGGTCAGCGCCTTGGAGGCACCCTCGTTTAGTGTGAAATTAGTGACGTGAAGAGGAATAAGGAGTGGGATGATGTCGACAGACATTTGAATGCCTCTGACGTCAGTGACTCCATTGGTGGCATCGAGGACAAAGGTGTCGTTGACTTGGTTCGGCTCCACCTGCACGTATTGGATGTTCCCGCTGTTAACGTCGGCTTGGGTAAACGTCCTGACAGGCGACTGTTTGGTTCCGATGTAGCGCTCTTCCTCTTCGACAAAATGCCGGAGAAAGCCATGAGATGGGGATACCTTCACTGCAAACACGATCTCAGATGGCAGGTTGTCCTCGTGTGTGACCTGCCGCAATCAGAAAACGTTCGTCCGTTAATCTGAAATGTCACAAGTCTCATTCAGGCTTAGTTTTCTGTTTTGTAGCATTATTGTGGAAACAATGTGCAGCATTTAGATTTGACCCTTTTAGCATTATTAGTATATGGATATTGTCTTAAGCATAAATAAAAACTGAAATGCAATTTTCCTTTATTTTACTTTATTGTAGTGATTTATTATTGTTTTAAAGACATGAAACTTTTCAACATTTGTAAATCCCAGATTTTTGGCAGCGAAGTTCTTTACTGAAACACTCACCTCCAGTTTAGTTTCATCAATCTTCACTGGTTTTCCTTCTTCCACCAATAAAGCCTCCCGATGCTGCACGATGGGTGGTCTCTGATGACTTTCCAGATAAACTTTCACAGCGACTCTCTCTGTAACCTGAAGACCTTTAGTTTTCACTGTTAGGCAAAAATGGTCTGCTAGATGTCTGCTGTCACCGTGCTTGTAGGAGATCAGTTGGTCTTTCATGTCAGCCAGTGTGAAGGACTCCACGCTTGTTTCATTATGATAAACGGCTCCAAACTTAGGAGCTTCATCCAACTTGAAAATTACCTCATGATCATCTCTAATGTCCAAATTTGATCCAACAGTGAAGTTTCTAGTGGAAATAGTCACAGATCGTCCTTTCTGAACCAGCAGGCCGGTGTTATTAGCGACCTTCAAGTAAGGCTCATCAGCACTGACATCTAAAAGGCTCGATACAAAATGTTTTCCATCTGAGACAAAGAACACAAACCTGCCGGTGTTTGCACCTTTGTGAATAAATAACACTCGCCTTTCCTCTAAATCCTGCTGTCGGAACTGAAACAGCCGATGACTGGTGTCATTAGCCAGAACAAGGTCTCCCAGCGGGATTCCACGTCGAGTGTAGATCAGCTGGCCGTCATTATAGTCGGAGTCGGCATCGTGATAACACAAATCCTCCATTGTAAGTAACTTTTGTCCATCTTTTACTACGTGGAAAACTTTATCGATGACTCGTATTGGCTTTTGGTCATTCAGTAGCTGAACAGACACGTTGAACGTTCCTTCCTTGGAGCCAATTTCATCTTCGACAATGAAGGACTTGAATCCTTGGCTTGTAGAGGCTATGAAAGTGAACTCGTCTTGAGTTGTTTCACTGTCATCATGGATGTACATTAACCGCTCCTGCGTTATGTCCTGATTGGTAAAGGTTAAAAGGTTGTCATAGCTAGCATTAGAGTTAGACTGGCTAATGCGAGCTAGTCTTCCATGCTTGGGGCTGCTTATGACTGTGTAGAACATGTCCGCTGTGCTCAAAGTCTCTGCAAACAATTCTTCTTTGGTGATAAGTTTGCTTTCTCCCTCCTTCAGAGCGAGTCCTTTATTTGTTATGAACACACTGTTGGCGTCAGCTTTGATGGAAAACTGGAAATCATAATTTTCTGACTGGGCATGTTTTGAAACCAGCTGAAATTTAAACCGGTCAGTTGTGTCCTCATAAGGCCTGTCAACAAGCTCATAATGAACTTTGTTATCTGTCAGATTTCTTTGGCTAAATGTTGAGTTCTTTGTCAGAACTGTGACATCAAGCAAGAGCTTCCCTTTCTTTGGTGTGGTGAGAACCCGGAAATAAAGGTTCTCATCAGAAAGTGCCACGCCTTCGGCCCTGGCCAGAAGGTACTCTGAGTTTAGCATCACTTTTCTTACCTTATCCAAGTTCATCATAACATTCTTCACCAACTGATACTTTATCCACTGAACAGTAATTGGGAAAACTATCTCAGTGTTGACCCTTGCAGCCACATTAACACGACACTTAAAATAATCAGTGACATTCGAAGTCTGGACATCTTGAAAGGTGTTAACATACCTAAGGCGCTCTTTTTCTAAAAGCTTCTGTGAGAATGACTCGGTGTGCCTCCATTCACCGCTTGAGTGAAGCCTCTGGAGCTCTCCAAACTGTGGGGGTTCGATGACATCATATCGGATGTCTACTACTTGCTTTACAGCGTTGGTTTGCACAGCCAACTGTTTCGAACTGATGACAGCTGTCTCACCCTGAACAACCTCAAGCCCGGTGTTGGTGGCAATCCTATACTGCAGTGCAACAGCCATGACTCTTAAAACCACAGTGTTACTGACCTTTTCTCCATCACTAACCCTGAGGACTATCCTTGAGTTCCTCACCCCTGTGTGAACATAGAACACCCTCAGTTCTTCCAAGTCTACATATGAGAATGAGGTCACGGCTTTTCCAGGGTTACTCTCCATTTCTAAGTATCCTGCTTCGGCATTAAGATTCCCAAGCACAGAGAAGACAAGGTCACTGTAGTTGCTGTCAACGTCTGTGGCCTTCAAAACATCCGAGGTGAGAAGTTTCTTAGAGTTCTCCAACAGGACAAAGAGATTTCCTTCAGGAAGGCTTAGTTCAGGTGCATCATTGGTGGGTGTCACAGTTATATTGAATTGGTATAACTTGCTGCTCTTCAAATAATCAGGAACTTGCTTTCTGCTACTACAAAATATCGAAAACATGAAGAAGTCATCGGGTTCCTCAGAGCCTCCATGGACGTACATCACTCTTCCATGCCAAAGATCCAGCATGCTGAAGGTGTTCTCCTCTTGCTCCTGATCAACATCCAGCCTTATCTGACCTCTAATAGGCTGCTCTTGAATTCTGAACATTATCTGAGACTGTCGAACACCAAGCTGCTTAAAGTCTAAGAAAACCTTTATGTGTTTGGCTTCAAGAGATGAGCGACCACCCTCTTGGACCTCGAGGTTTCTAAGTTGAACAAAATCTGAGCCATATCTTCTGTCCAAGCCAACTGCAAGGGTGGACATGTAAAGGAAAGGTGTTGGTGTTATCAAATGAAGAAGGGGTCTTGATGTACTTGTGGGATTAGCAGGGGTTTGTGACTCTGGTTCACAACCAACTGAAACATCTTTGGTGATCACTGCATGAGAAAGACCCATCTTAACTCGGTTCACTTCAATGTTCTTCAAACATCCTTTGAAGGAACCTCCTCTGACACGTCTTCCCGATACAGAGGCAAGCCCCAACTTTCTGACTTCTGACCTAGTGCCGTCATCGATGCCGCCAACAAAAAGATGACCTTTAAGATGAAGTCTCTTTAAATGAGAGCTAATGCTGCTTTTCACTATCTCCCCATCAACTGTTAGCTCAAGGCTTTTGGAACTAAAATGCAGCTTGACAGAATGCCATTTTTTGTCATCAATAAACGTTTGTGAACGCAGTTCGGTTTTGACTCCACCTTTCCCAACAACAGCCACTGGCAATCCTTCTTGAATTTCCAGAGCCACAAACCCTCCCTCTCTGGCTGAACTGTAGAGAAGAATCCCTTCTTTGGCAGAAGTGTGCACAACACACTGAAATGTGGCCTCTTGATGGATTGTCCAGGTTGGAACAGAAACATACGCTCTGGAACTGAAAAAACTGATAGCATCTTCTTCAGTGGCAAAGAACTGTGGACTGCAGCCCAACGACACTTCATAGACGTTTTTGTACCCGGTGTACGACCTCAATGATGACAGCAAGTCATGTTCGTTGAAGACTGCCTCGTCCATGCAGCCTCGGAAACCGTTTAGGTTTCTAGGTAGGTACATTTTGTCTAAGCCACCTGAGCCTCCAACATAAAGACCATCCACAATGTTGAGACTGTGATGGGGCCCGGGGATCTTGACGCTTGTGTGTGAGTTTTTGTCCACAGTCAGAGTGACATTTAATGACACGTGTTTGACTTCAACAGAGTGCCAGGCCAAATCGTTGAACTGGATGCTTCTATCTGATTCCAACACTTGCTCCCCTGATCCAAGGTCCAGTTTCACCTACGAGAAACAATAAAAACACGGATGACAAAATGTGGAAGCACATACAAACATTAGGTATTTTCTTATGTTTTCAATCAAGTACTTAGCACATAACCATATAATCGGTTGATATGGTTTGCACATTTCCATAAAAGAATATTAATAATTCCAAAACTATTCAGGACATTATGGTTTTAATTAAAAAATGATAAACTGCAGATGTGGAGACACCTTGAGGGGTAACTCCAGGATTCAGACTGCTTATTATGTCACCTGTTGTCAAAACATTGATCCCTATCTGTGTTTTAGCGCAGGAAGAGCATTACTATCTATTTGCCCTGAGCTACGACCACAGAGCAACACACTATCTCAGACTAATGCTGCATTAAGATGACACGCTTGTCAAGGCCTGCTGCTGAGCTAAACTTGCACGAGTTTCCAGGGAGCAATCTGACTCACACAGAATGAGACCCCAAGCTTAAAAAATGGCAAACACCGCCAGTTCAAAGCCCAGGAAACTCCGTCCGCTCCTTGTGCTCAGCGAAGTGCAAAAAAATCAACACGTTTGTCTGACTTATTCAACCCCAGTGGTGGAGATGTAACAAGTATAAGCTTGGTCATGAAGAATGAAGTCTACAACACAATTACTCAGGACTTCCTATGTTTTCTAAACATTTGAAAGAGCCATTGAACTGAATGGCTCTTTCATGGTACTAAATGTTTGATATCAATTTATTTATTCCGGCTCTTGGAGGGTGCAGACGCTTCTTTCCTCCTCTCCTCCATATCTTATCCTCAAGGCCGTTTTCTGTCTGTGTGTGCTGGGTGCACGGCTGCTTCTGCATTTTTCTGGAAACTGGAAACAGAAATTCACTAAAATGGATCTCGTCAGCTGGTCTCTCAACGCGATTGATAAAAATTTTTCAACGATGAGAACGGGAGAAGGGGCTCCCGGATGCCCCGCCGGGACAGACCCAGTTGGACACCTCATGGACTCCTGGAAACAGTGGAAGCTGATTTGTTTACCTCAGCTGTCTGTGGAGGACTCTGAAGACGTGTGGATATTCATGGTGTTGGTGTCAGGTTTCCTGCTCATTGGCCTTGGAGGCTTCCTGGCTTACCGGAAAATTAACGAGATGTTAAGGAATATTGGCCTGATCCCGGAGCTCAGAGATGGATTGCACCGCGCTGTGAATTCACAGACTCACATAATTGTCGAGATGAATCGTAAGCTTGGAACTTTGGCCGAGATTCATTCTTTGGCACAAAATATGGATGCCATCAAGGAGAGAGTGGACGAATCAGCACGGATTGGGATAGTTTAATGTCCATTATTGGGATTCTGAGAGGTTGAGGACCAACAAACTGTAAGACAGAGAGGAAATTATCTCTGTCTGGTCCCAAAACAATTTCTAATCGGAATCTGGCGTCCTTGAGCCTGCAAGGCTCCAACGAAAACTCCCCCCTCAGAAGATATGTGGAATGTGCCGTCGCTATGGCAACTCAACTCTGTCTCCTTTCCCAGCCCGGGCGGGACTGCGGGAAGGCCGCCGAATCGTTCCAGGGTCACTGCAACCCTCCAACCCTCAATGCTCCTCCCCCTATCCACACTGAGGTGACATGCGCTGCTCGTAGTGGCTGCAGGAACTGAAGTGGGGATAGCCCCCCCCACCCCCACCTAGTGGACACTTATGTGGACACCACCACCTTCCTATTGGAGTCTCATGTTATGTTGTGTTGTCTGAAGTCTGTTGCATATCTGTCTGAGGTGTTTATTTGCAGAGCAAAGCTGCACTCCCTGTGGAGGGTAACTCTGAAGTGTCTTTTTTCCCTCCACCTGAACCAATCCTCATGTAACCCTCTGATCTCTATTAAGGTAGCGCGACTCAGGGTTGCGAATGACCACAGTCACCATTCTTGTCATGTGTCTTGCCCATGTATGTCTGATCTCTGAACTGTGTGTACTGAAACTCTAATTTCCCTCTGGGATTAATAAAGTATCTTTGATTGATTTAATTTAAAAATAACAATATATTCTAAAAGCTAAAAGTGTGTTTTATCCAAAGGAAAGGCTGTTAATGAGGTTTGTGAAAGAAGTGAGGGCTAACACCCACATCATGCTTGTCTGTGTGCATTACTGCACCGAGACTGACATATGAAGCCCGCAGCTGAGTGGTCAACGTGTGTGTCTATACTGCATGTAGCCAAGCACAGTGACGTGCCATCCACATGCACACGTGCTGTGGACACGGATGTACCCACCTGCAGGCGACTGGCGTGGAGCTCTAGCAGGAAGTAGTTGGCCTCGCCAGCGGCGAGAAACAGAAGGCCGTTGGTGCTGGAGGTTCTGAAGCGAACGCGGAGAACGTTATGGTCGGACGACTCTGTGGCCTTGAGTTGTACGAAGCCATCGCCATAAAAGGAAGCTGCAGGAGAGACATTAAAGATATATTTTAAAGTACTTGAATAAAGGATTTTTAGGGGAAAGCGTGTTCAAATACAGCTCATCAACATGAGGGTGAGTGAGAAGTGAAACTCATCATAAAGGAAGGAGGACTACGATAAAGAAAACCACAACTTTGTAGTTTTAAACTGCCCAAATCTGACATTTTTGATACACTAATGAGGTAATTATCATTATGTAGTTGCTCTTCATTATACATACATTAACATAGCTTTACAATGCTAATCTAGCATAAAACCTATAAATAAAGGAATCTTGAATAACACCTGAACAATATTTTTTGGATTATTTACCCTTTATTATGGACTCACTGCATATTTAATCATTTCCAAGCAGAAGAATTAATATGGATCAAAAAATACGAAACTAATTAGGCTAAATTCAACTCCACACATTGTGACTAAACTACGTGTTAATGTCTGTTTACGTGTGTAGCTTTAGTAGAAAGTTGAATGTGGGCCATCCAAAGCTGTGAGGACAACACATGTGATGTTTAAGGTATTTGACTAACGCCATAATAGCAGAACACAAACCGGGGTGGCGAGGAGGTGTCAGACATGTTTGGGCCTGCCCTGTCTTGACAGGAACCGTCAACCTGAACATGAAAGGCTCTGACATCCCCACATTGTTTGTGGCCTCTTGTTCTGGAAACGGCGTCGCAGGCGGGCCCAGCTGTTTCTTCATCCTCACTTCCCTGCCATTTTTCCTCACCCTGTAATCTGCACTAACGTGCTCTGAAGCATTCTCACGTGAGCCTCCGTGCCCAGGCACCAGCGGTTTCTAATGAGCTCCAGAGCAAAACACAGATTCAAAGGTCAACAAACATTTTTGCCTCCATGAAGAAAACGTGCCTGTTCCACGTTTTTGACTCATCTGTAGTTCATGACCCGAAGGCAAGCAGCTAATGGGTCAGAGACTCCCTGCACTGGGTGAAGTTAATGCAGATGAAGCACTGCTTTAATTCCTAAAAGGGTTGATGCATTCAATCTGATCCAGTCCAAACTCAGCAGTATCAATTAGGCCAATCAAATCAGTGACGTGTGTTAATCACTTCAGCCTTATCGATATATATAGCAATCACTCACCGAGAGCTAAAACCAGGGAAAAAAACATTTGATACGTCACATTTCCTATAACTAAAATACTGATTTTATAACTGATCTTTCTTGATCAAATGTGCATTAAACTCATAGTTATAAGAGATGGTTTGGGCATTGGGTATGTCCAAAAGCAGGGCCTGCATTTGTCCAATTGCACATTTACCGGTAGTTGCCCATTTTATAACAGCAAACCAACAAAGTCAAAACTGAGGGGTGGGTCAGGTGTATCATCTTTGGTGAAGACCATCCTTGGATTCATTGTAGGACTAACTTAACATGTTTGTTTTTGTACCATGGCACAGGAAGCATGGGTATTACAGTTTCAAATGTTAGTAAATTAATATGTTGCAGTACAAAAATTAAAAGCCAAAAGCTTTTTTAACCGATTTACCAATAATTTCCAACACCATAAGCTGATAACAATACATGCTCCCCATCATAAAAGGAAAACGAAATCCTTTTAGGTTACTAATGCGCATATCTTTTATCATACTTACACTTAAAGGTGTGGTTAACTGAAAACCCGGCTTTTAATGATTGTGTCCGACTGTAATCAGTCACTAAGTTTTTCATGCAGGTTGAACATGAAAATAGTCTCCTACACCTATCTGCTGCATTAGCGTCTGGTGGAAAATAGACGCTGAAACTCTAGGATTTGAAAAGCCTCACAGATCTAAGTCACTGACTTCACATTCACGGACTCATCCATCCTGACTCAGGACGGGGAAGGCTGTTGTTGATTTAACTTTTGGTAATCAGCAGCCGGCATCTCGGCTAGTAGAAGCTAACCGTTAGCATTAGCAACTTCACCACAGGACGGAAGCTTCTCCAGGCTTGTGTTATTTGTGGAGATGAAACATCAATGTTGCAAGTCAGTGGTAGAGTCGTGTTGCTGTTATCCAATCCGGGCAAGAAGATATCCAAATATCAGGAAAAATCCTGCCGCCTGAAGCTCAGCTGTGATGTGAGTCACTGCTTGTTCCTGGAAATGATGCACCGGTACATATTTTATATTTTTATAAGGCTTTAACATTATCTGTGCAAAATATGACTACAGCTATAATGATGAATACTTAAAGGTGTGGTTCACTCGTTAAATCAATACATTTGCAGTGGCCTCTAGTAGGAACTCTAATGCGCTAATGGATCCCCAACACCTGCAAAGGGTTCCTGATCCTTTAGATGGTCTCTCAGTCTAAGATGAATAACTGAAATAAATTGACTTTTTGAACATATTCTAATTTTTGGAGATTTATCTGTAAGTTAAGCAATGGAAAAAGTGCCATATTTATTTTGTCTCCAGCTGAATCACATTCTCCTTGAGAAAATCCTGACAAAAATCCACTAAACAGAGCAAATTTCTATTTTTTCACACAATGTGACATAAAATATCTCAAAAACTACCTCGGACTTGTCATTTTCATTTTAAATTTTGAGTGAGAAGAGAAGTAGCTGAAGATTTTTATGTCTAATATGTTCATGATATGTAAAGTTTTGGTCATTAAACAGTGAAAAAGATTATGATAATTTCCATAATTGTATTTTAATGCCAATATCGGACATCCCTAACTAAGATAATTGATTGATTGCACCATATTGTTTCAGTGATATAGTTCACATCTTTCCACTAGTTGTAAAATTAAATCTTTTTTCCATATGAAAGCTGTAAGGACAACCGGTGATGTTCAGAGTATCCGCGCTGACATTAGCTAAGAGGCAGGACACACCCCGGTCAGACTGACACCGATTCACTCTTACAACTAAATCAGATCTTGAAGAAGTTACAAATTAAAGCAAAAAATAAATAATTCACTGAAGCCAGTGAGTCCAGCAAAACAAAACCCTAACAGGCAACTGGAGAACGTGCAGCTCTCACACAGAAGGGCCACAGACGACCAGCTGGTTCAAATTCAGTTTTCTTGCTACAAGGCAGCTTTACTGACTGCCTCTAACAAGGACAACAACCTAAAAGCTAAAGTTTTCAGTTAAAATGATATTTGGATGTAGTGATTGTCCAAAAATAAAAATAAAAACTGCTGACGGGATAAAACACATTAGCATTATCTCATTCCTCCTAGCTTCATCCAGCTCTGACCTTCAGCTCTTGCTGGGTAGGTTCGTGGCCGAGTGTGAAGCGGCTGGGATGAGGATCAGCACCTCCAAATCTGAGACCATGGTTCTCGACCGGAAAAGGGTGGCTTGCCAACTCCGGGTCGGGGGAGAGGTCCTACCTCATTGGAGGAGTTTAAGTATCTCGGGGTCTTGTTCACGAGTGAGGGTAGGAGGGATCGGGAGATCGACAGGCGGATTGGTTCGGCGTCTGCAGTGATGCGGACGCTGAGCCGATCTGTCGTGGGGAAGAGGGAGCTGAGCCAGAAAGCCAGGCTCTCGATTTACCGGTCGATCTACGTCCCAATCCTCACCTATGGTCATGAGCTTTGGGTAATGACCGAAAGAACGAGATCGCGGATACAAGCGGCCGAAATGAGTTTCCTCCGTAGGGTGGCCGGGCTCAGCCTTAGAGATAGGGTGAGGAGCTCGGACATTCGGGAGGGACTCGGAGTAGAACCGCTGCTCCTCCGGATCGAAAGGAGCCAGTTGAGGTGGTTTGGGCTTCTGGTCAGGATGCCTCCTGGACGCCTCCCCGGGGAGGTGTTTCGGGCATGTCCTGCCGGCAGAAGGCCCCCGGGTCGACCCAGGACACGTTGGAGAGGTTACATCTCCAATCTGGTCCGGGAACGCCTTGGGGTCCTGCCGGAGGAGCTGGTGGAGGTGGCCGGGGAGAGGACGGCCTGGAGCTCCCTAGTTGGGATGCTGCCCCCGTGACCCGGACCCGGATAAGCGGAGGAAGACGACGGCGACATCATCTCAGTGAAACGTTTTTATTCGTTTGGCTGATTTCAGGGACACAACAAAGATTTGGCATTTTGAAAACAGGTCGAGATGAAAGCAATAAAATCTAAATTCGCAGGAGAAGACATGTATGATTATCAGCATTTATGCTACTATCATCACAACGATGTTCAAGCTGCGTGAGCAAAACAACGTAAACAAAATCTAAGTCGGTTCGGACTAATTCATCATTTTCCTTCCACAACTTTTCCAGAAGCAATGTTGGGAAAACGATGAACACACAAAGAGGGAAAAAAGGTACTTTAAACTTTCTGACCTGACCGTGACATAATGAAAGAGCAAGGCATGGAACAACAGTAGCCCAAATGTGTCCTTTCAAAAGAAGAAACATCGGGTGTTGTGAGCCTTGTCCTGTAATCTACACCTCAACAAGTTCCTTTGCAGCGGGGACGTTTTGTTTTTGGTACAATCTCACGAACCTCTCTCCTGTAACAACATCACCGGTGACCTTTATAGAGAACACTGGCTCACAGTGACTTGATGGACGAGACCAGAGCATGTCACTGTGTGTGTATTCAGTTTATTCAACAAATCGGAGATGCAGCCTGGCTGAATCGTATCTGCTGCTGATGCACTGTGAAAGCCCGAGACGTGGATGCTTTAAGTAAAGGAAACAAAGACAATGGATAGAATCAGAGAGACAGTGACATAAAAGGATTGTCTACGCTATTTTCTGTCAATGACATGGGGAAATCATGTGAGATAATTAGAGATGATTCCAAAGGGTAGTGTCTGGAGGAAAGCTGACTTTGGGTGACACAGGAACAGCAAAGGAATGCCTGGAGAGGTTTAAAAATGCTAAATCTCCCTTAGCTCCATCACAAAAACAGCTATGCATTTGCTTACATGTATTTAAATATGCAGCTGCTGCAATAATTAGACAATTGTGTGCATTCAAATATGAATAAATTGTTAGATTTATCACCGTGATTTGTTTGCAACAGGCGCTTAAAGGATAAATGGGCTTCTGTTGCCATTACCTGCCAGTCCCCATTTACTTTTTCATTTAATCCTTTGTGGTCTACACTTAAATACCTACAGATCACTGCAGCAACACAGAAACATGTACAGAAATCCCTTAAAAACCATCTGTAATGTGATACTAAACTTGTTTTCAGACATAAACAGCTCAAGAACGAGCTAAATAAAGGCATAACGGTGAATTAACCCTCTAACTGGTGTTTCAAGGAAAAAGTTCGCTTATTTAGAATATAGGGTAAACGTGTACACACTTATTCGACTAAACCAACACGAAGCTTGTAAATTATTATTTTTTTCATTGATAAAAAGTCCAAAAAGCTGGAAACATTACCTCCTGATGCTAGTTGGAGCAGCAGCGACCACCAAAGAAGAGACCGGAGCCACAACTTCTCCGTTCTGCTCCCAGCAGACTCCATCTTTTGTTTCGGTCGAAACGTTTAACGGAACGTCCGGTTACATTTTTACCAGCTAGTCTTACTTTTCCATGCTTCGGTGCCGTCCAGTAGACCAGCGAATCGGAAACAACAGTGAGAAAGTGTGTGTGTGTGTGTGTGTATGTGTGTGTGTACAGCCCAGCAGAACCCCTCCAACTCCACCTCGTGCGCGTTCGCTTTCCAATTTTTCAAAATAAAAGCTGATGAGACATGCAGGGAAAAACTGTAGGAATTTGTTAGTGCTCTCAATTGTAAACAACGGTTGCACCCGATTTATTTCATAGTTTTTTTTTCCAGTTTTACAACCGTAGCTCTTATTGTAAATCTGTGAGATGATTGCATTTTCCCAAACTTCCGGTTCCCTGTTCCTCTGAATATGAGGAGTTTTATTGTGAAGTTTAGTCTATTTGAAAAACACCACAAACTGAAAAATGACATTTAGTTTGATAAATTACAGAACTTCTGAGCTTTAAATGGACGAAACACTGATCTGATGACAAAAACCCAAAATTGCATTTTTCTTATTCATAAAAGTATGCATAAAAATCCTGCTGATTGGGAGAAGATTGGATTAATAAAGGGCTCCTTTGGTGGCACTAACAACAATTTTGTTATTCTAGTAAAAATAAAGAAAACTGCTTTTGAATATAAAACAAAACATAATTATTGAAATATGAGCTGAAATTTGTTTCTTAACAACCACCAAGAAATGTAAATGAGCAAAAATGAGAAACAAAGTTAAAAGTTGAGGTTTGTGGGACTGGCTTGTCGGTCGGAGCAATACATTCCTAGGGAATACGTGGGATCGTTAATACGTCTATGCCCTGGGGCCAAACATTTTATAACCTTGCAGAACACTGAATGTAAAACAAATCTCTCAGTGGTGTCGTAAAATTAAAACAGTCAAGCATAATTTCTACAAAAGGTTTTGTAAAAAAGTGTTTTTGTGCACAACATTGATTGACCAAAATTTTATTATAAGAACATTGTGCCTTTGTACCTTACATGTAGCGTAGGGCTTTTTTCAGTTGCTTTTTGTTGTTTGTTACCAAGAGATATTTAAATTTTAAGATTTTTTTCCAGAAGCAAAGTCATGAAAAATCTTAGCAATCTTCATTAAGATTTCTCCTTGGAGAATGTATTTTATTCCATTAACTTACATGTTTTTATTTAAAATTACTGCTCCTAAGCTGATTCAGCCTTTTGCCTATTTAATTCATTATTACAATTTCACCGGGGCGACAGAGGCACAGGAGTTAGGCGCTCGCCTCGTAATCGGAAGGATGCAGGTTCGAGCCCCGCTCACTCTGTCGCTGTCATTTTCTGCTGGTGGTGGTCGGTGGCGCCGGTGCTCGGCAGCCTCGCCTCTGTCAGTGCGCCCCAGGGTAGGGATGCAACGATACCACTTTTTTCCAAACCGATACGATACCGATACTTGGATCTGAGTACTCGCCGATACCGATTACCAATACCGATACTTCTACCATACAAAAAAGGGCAATGATTTGGAATACAGATTTTATTTTCTTCTCTGCTTTCAACAGGAAAAGACTGTGAGGTAGATAAAAAAGTAAAATATATGAATAGAAATCATCACAAAACTAAAATATTAGGTGAACAGAAATGACAAGTTACAGTGAAGCCATTTTCAAGCAACTGCATTGGTATCGGTTCCTGGTATCGGTTAACTTTTACCGATACCGACACTGGTATTGGTATCGTATTGGTGCTGATACCAATACTGGCATCCCTACCCCAGGGCAGCTGTGGCTACATCGTAGCTCATCCCCACCAGTGTGTGAATGGGTGAATGACTGACTGTGTTGTAAAGCGCCTTGGTAGCACGACTCAGGGTTGCGAATGACCACAGTCACCAATTCTTGTCATGTGTCTTGCCCATGTATGTCTGATCTCTGAACTGTGTGTACTGAAACTCTAATTTCTCTCTGGGATTAATAAAGTATCTTTGATTTGATTTGAAAACAAAACAGATAAAACAAGGTTTTTATAAGGGCTTGGATAAATGAGCTATGAGGAAAACACACCACATTTTATTCAAATAGTTAATAATCGTTAAGAATATCTTTGCTCCCAGTTAAAAAGGTAGAATATTTAGTTGAAGAGAAGACCCCAGTCAGAAGATCCGGAGGACGTTTGTCAGCGGAATCCGAGCAGCTTCCTGAACTCCTGCTTGATGCAGCTGAAGACGGGATGGTAGAAGCGTCGGTTTGACAGCATGAGGTCAGTGACCATCTCGGTATGGTTGACCTCAGGAAGCAGGTAGAGCGACACCTTTACAGACAGCGAGGTGAGAAGCTCAGAGAACTTTGTGGAGGATTTAACTGGAACAACAACGTCGCTCGTCCCGTGAAGCAAAGCGAACGGAGGCATTCTGAAAAAGGAAAGGCTTTTGCATTGCAGCTGTCTCACAAACAAAAACAGGAGACTGGTGATGAACGCCTCTCACCTGCTGAGGTTTTCACTGCTCAGCTTCCTCAATAAGTAGTTTGGCGAATAGTTTGAAAAGTTTTCCTCTCCGTTCATGGCTTTGTGCATGGTGGATATGTATTCAATTCCTCGCTTCTGCTCGTGCTCATAATGATCCATGATGTCATAAACACCGCTCAGACCTGTCCGGGGAACACGGAAGAGCAATTTCCAACTCCTCAAATGAATCCATTTAGTCCATAAAAAATAAATTCCTGGTTTTAATTTCCTGGGAACTTATTTTCTTTTATGCAGAAAAGATGATTTTGGACTCGAACACTTAAACCCCCCACCCCCCCACAAATAATCTAAACGCTGTCTTCAAAACAAAAATGAAATATTCTGGCAGGTAAACGACGTACTTACCAATGACTCCTCTGATGGACATTGTGATGTCCCATTGTCTCTCTGAATCGATGAACAGCTCGTCTCTTGTTTCAATCAGAAATAACGTAGTCAGGGCGCACAGATGTGCACCTGCTGAATGGCCAATTAAAACAATGTTGTCCTGTAAAAAATAGTGTGTGTCAAAAATGAGAAGACTCAATATTCTAAAACAGGAAAAAATGAGATCAGATCTACTGGACCTGAAATAAAAAAGTCATTAAACGTGAATTTGATACACACAGGCTATCTGTGGGTTTAAGGGAGCCAAATTTAAGAGTTTTTAAGACCCTTTTTAAGGCCACTTTGACCAAATTTAAGCTATTTTTAAAAATAAAATTTAAGCTATAATTTCCAGCTATTACCTGGAACCGGTGCTAACCACGTCACGAACGTGGGATTAGCCATCCTGTTACCATTAAACTTGCACTTCCCCATGGCACAAGCTCCCACTAGCTTAACCAGCTAATGTGCTCATCTAAAAACAGCCCCCTTTCACAACAAACTGAGTGTGTACTAGGGGTTGTATGAACTAGTCGACTAGTCGACTTCACCGCTCTGTAGTGACTTTTTATGCCTGTCATCGACTAGTCGCTGCCACGTGATAATGACCGACAAGATGCAGTCCTCGGAAAAGACAGCAGGTGACGAACTCCTGCCCGTCGGGATCGAGGCGGAGGCAACGCGCTGTGCCAGAGCGTCGGTACCGACACCCGCCGTAAAACGGACATTTAACCAAATTGTGACCTTTTTCTCTTGCAATTTAACCTTCCCCTCACCCCCATCCTAACCTTAACCAGCTTGCACATGCAAAGCTCTGATTGTTGACGCGCTCCAGACATCTGCGTCCTGAGCACGGCCACAGTAACGTTATCAAATCAGGTGTCGCCACCTCAAAAACTAATTTAACACGCGATCGTTCATGTCGGCTCATTTCCTTTTATGTTTTCTGTCTTTTATTTGTGCCTGATGCGTTTTGCTGCTGTGGATCGGGGCGCATCACCTGTTTTGTCCTCGGTGACGCACCTCACTGATGTGGCCAGCGAGCACTCCGCTGTTTCTGCGGTCGGTAGATCTTTTAGAACTGCAGTTCAACGGTAACTCATGAGGTGAATATATATGAACCCAGGTAGCAGTTTCTCTTTAGGATTGAGAGGAGATGCAGGAAGATAATAAACAGGCAGGACAGAAAAATAGTCAAATAAAAACAAGTTAGTTTTTGTACCTGCTGGTTGCAACAAACAGACACCATTGAAGGTAATCAGAAGTGAGGAACAGAAAATGAAATAATTATTTTAATGTTTAGAGCAGCAGGAACTCTGAGAGGCTGCAGCACATCAGTGAGTTTGCGGCCGCTGTGCAGGGGGAGGGGGGAGAGGGCTGAAGCAGGGGGAGGGGGGAGGGGGCTGAAGCAGAAACTACCGTTGTTAAAAGAAATGTTTAACTTTGAAAATGTGGGCGTAATTTTAATTGTCAAAACCTCCAGCGAACCAACCCTGTACACATATTTAGATTCTCTGCATATTTTATTTACCTGATGGTCAAGAGAAGACTTACTTTGTCAAAGCTGAACTTCTGTGCATTTTCTTGGGCCCAAATCAAGCAGTCAGCAATGTCTTGGACCATCCCCAGAATGTCCCCCTAACAAACACAAACAACGCTTAGAAAAAACTTCCTGAAAGGGAAATTATACAACTTCATTAACTTCCACATCTGAGAATCGGGACACCCAACGCACTCGCACCCCTGGAAGGGAACATGCAACTTTGGGGCAGCAGCAGCTCAACAGGTTGAGCGGGTTGTCCAGTAATCGGAAGGTTGCAGGTTCGATCCCGGCTCCGGACAGAGAATTCTGTCGTTGTGTCCTTGGAGGAGACACTTAACCCACCTTGCCTGCTGGTGGTGGTCGGAGGAACCGGTGGCACTTGTGCTCGGCAGCCTCGCCTCTGTCAGTGCGCCCCAGGGCAGCTGTGGCTACATCGTAGCTCATCACCATCAGTGTGTGAATGGATGAATGATACACTGTAGTGTAAAGCACTTTGGAGTCCTTACTCTGAGGGGCGCTTTACAAGTGTGGATCATTTATCATAACCGATTATTGCCACTGGGCCTCAGAAAAGGAGGGTTTAGGTCCAATCCCAATACTCGCACTGCTCCCTACGGTATTCTGTGAAGTGCACTTGGAGGAAGTGTTCAGTAAGGCTTCGAGTGCGAAGTACACAAGTGTGCAAATAATTGCTGAATTGGGGCAAGGAGCACATGCCGGGATTCTGCTCCCTGTGCTGCTTTAAAAAACAAATCTTTAATAACTTTCAAAGAAACAACCATAAAAAATGTACATTAATTGCTGTCTATATTAAATGTTTGTATTAAACGTTCAGCGCATCAAAATATATCATTAATCTTCCTAAAATGAACTACTTTCATTTGAACAGACATATTTTCAGAAAAGGCACTTAGCCTTTGCTTTGCTTTCTTCTCAAAATTCCCACGCAGCAATAGATTGTGGGTAATATCGATGCAGACTTGGGTGAAGGTCAGACCAAGGGTGCAAAAAGGGCGTGGTCAACTTCCGCACTTGAGAATCAGGACACCCAACGCACTCGCATCCCTGGACAGGATTGCGTAATTGAAGGGCATAAGGGTGGAATGGGGATTGGGCCCTAGAGTCTTCCTGATATTTGGATATTTAGCCTCTGATTGGCTAATGGCAGCACAAGTCTACCACTGACTCTGTTTGCTCTGCAACGATGATGTTTAATAAATAACACAAGCCTGGAGGAGCTCTGGCATGTGGTGAGGTTGCTAACGCTAACGGTTAGCTTCTACTAGTCAAGACATTCTCTGCTGTTTCCTGAACACTAAAACAACAACAGCCTTCCCCGTCGCGATCCAAGATGGGTGAGTCTATGAACGTTAGACTAGATCTTGAGATCTGTCAGGCATTTCAAATCTTAGAGTTTCACCGTCTATTTTCTATCAGAAGCGATTGCAGGAGATATGCGTAGGAGACTATAATCAGAAACATATTTTCAGTGATCCACACTTTTACCATCTTTGGATATCTCTGTTGTTCTTACCTTTGGATAAGTGCAGTAATCTGGACAGATGACAGTTGTGCTCAGTTCCTCAGCCATCTGCCGGGCCAGTAAACAGTAAGTGGATCTTTCACCAGAACCCCAGGCTCCTCCATAGACAAAAACCACAAGGGGTGTCGACACATGTTCAGGCTTGCTGGTGTTTGGGGGGTGGTACAAGTCCAGGTTTGTGCTCCTGCGGCCAAAAATGATGTTCTTGCACGAGAAGGCAAGCAAAACATTAATTAATGACATCACTTTTTAGCATCTTGACTTTATTTACTGACAAAAGTTAAACATCAGAGGTTTTGTTGCCAACTAATAACACACCTTTTTGTAATGCTTATTGTTTTCCTCATTTTTATACCACAACTTCAGTTGAAAGTACAGCCTCCCATACTGGAGGTATTTGAGAATATCCAGTATAGCAAAGGTCAAACGGTATATCCGCCTGTGAGAGGCACCAGAAAGACAATTAGAACCCTTTTGTTAAATAAATAACAAACAATAAGAGCCCAGAAAATTAATTTTTAGAGTGTACCTTGGTTTGAGAGCTTCTGTGTACTTCCTGCATCCAGATTTATTGGGACAGCCATAAATTAACTGGGCAGCTAAACAAACTGAGTAAGGCAGCCCTACCAACAGGAACCCAGCCGTCACAGGTAGAGAGAGGGTATATTTTAACCAAGTCCTTAAAAAAGAAGCAAAGAGGACGATTGGTGCTCTCATTTAGTTGGTATTTTTTTTAATCTTACGTTATTTTGCATTTAGAAGGTCTTACATTGTGTGTTTCTGCCACACCTGTGAACAAAGATAAATGTTAAAACATGTAAATAATAGGAAAATGCTAAACTTTCCGTTAGACACGCGACGTGTTCAACTTTGTGTACAACAGCGCCCTCTAGCGAGATCTCAAAAACCTGCATTAAAACGAAAAGCAACAAAAACATTTGTAATGTCAGATTATTTCATATCACAGCGTAGCTTTAAAGGGCTAAATATCATCAATTCACATGGCGTCACCTGCTGTTAACCCCTATGTCCCTGTTGAACTAGAAGTCCATCTCTCTGTGCAGATCACCATCTGACACACGGGGTGCTAAAGCTAACGCTATCATTAGGAAGCACTTTTGTTTACCGTCCCAACATAACACGATAAATTATTAAACTACAAAGTGTTTAAATTGCGCATGTAATGCGTCGCTTCCACTTGCCTAGTTGCTTTGGACATTATTAAATGTTTACAAAGGCTGACAAGAGAAGAACGTCTTTCACTTCCGCTTTCGTCACGTTAGTAGGAAGTGAGAGAAGGTGTTGTGATTGGTGGAAATGGTCTGAGAAGGTTGATCCGTTCAAGTGCCCTGTGCAGATGAAAGTTGGACCCACACACGCACGCACGCGCACACACACACATAGATAACAACACACAATCACACACACACGCACACACACACGCACGCACACATAGATAACAACACACAATCACACACACACACACGCACACACACACACACACACACACACACACACACACACACACACACACACACACACACACACACACACACACACAGGGTTCGCAGGGTTACGTTAAGACGTTAGGACTAAAAATAAATAAACAAAAAATAAAATTAAAATTTGGGGGTTTAAATCTTGTCAGGCGCAACATCTCATTACTGACAGTCCGGCAATCCTGTAAAATTAAATAAAATATTTAGCTAAGTCTGTTTTTTTTTCTCATTTTTAAAATAGATTAGACTTCATGAAGAATAAAAAAATCAAAGAGGTGTTTTGAAAGACAAATATTAAATCTAATACATTACATGTTAAATCTAACAGGGCTCGCCAGGTCTGAAGCTTTATCCTTGGCATTTCACCTTTGCACACAACTGACGTGAATTATTTACTGCTTCAACTTTTGACTTTCTTTTATTGCAGAAACAGCATGTTTTCTTGAGATTTTCCATGTCAGGTGGGATATTTTCAGTCTCGACTCTGAGGTCAGGTTTGATATTCCTGTTTCTCCAAAAATTACAAAGCATTTGAATTTTAACAGAACTAAATTTTAAATGATGCCATTGCAGAATCTTGAAGATATCTCCAATAATACTGAAAGATTTGCTCAAATGCCAGTATTAAATCAAGATCTGGTTACAGTTTTTATAGATGTTTGTTTTTGAATAAATATGTAATGTGTGTATAAAACAAATTAGTAGATGTAAAAAAAAAGTATGCTCAACAACGTGCAACCGGTGATTTCTTGTTTTTATTTAATTTTTATTTCTTACTGAGGTGAAATTTCAATGCACATAATAAAATATTATTATGAAAGATTCCAACAATTGAATAAAACACGTTCTTTAAAATAACAGCCAGCAGGGGGAAGAATTGCACTTTCATTTGTATCTGAAGCTTACAGCGTGAATGGCTTGTAAGTGATCCTTAACTGTGTTGGAACATTAATAAAAATTTAAGTCATAGACACAAAAGTGGGTTAAGAGATAATTAAAACACCGGATGTGGCCTAATTTAACCAGATCTATAACAGTGCAGCTGCTGAATATGCTTATTTATTTAGAAGAAAAAGTCTCCAGTGAGTGGACCAAAATACGCCTGGAATAAACGGTCTAAGTAAAACACACAGTCTGACAGCGGCCCATGGCTTAGCTGTATAAACATCCACAGGAATATTTCCGATTATTACACCTCTTAGCTTTTAAAAGCAAACTCATTAAACCCAAAGTTATGTAAATTTGCAAGGAAAAATAAGGGAGTTTGTTTTTGCCCATGGAAAACCTCGGATTCAGCTCTGCACATTCGTAGAAAGCACACGAGTGCTGACCACGCTGAGGATCACTGTTATATTTGGCTCCATGGAGCGGAGTCTCCAGGTTGTTCCTCCATCTGCCTCCATGTGGGGAGTCCCAGGTGTTTTCTTAAGTTCTTCTTTTAAATATAAATCTACAATAAAGTCAGGCATGCAGCTGGCAGCACATGAGCGCAGTGTTAACACTGACTGTGGTTAAATTCCCAGCATGTTCTCGTTCCTATTGGACACTATGTCCTCCTCGGATCACGGTTTCATTCAAAGTGGTGCAAAGATTTTAATTACATTTTTTTTTTTTTGCACAAACAGGATCTTTGTAGACAGCTTGATCAGATTTTCCATGGGACACAATCAGCAAAATTGTGAATGTCAGCATTTGTCAGGATAAATTCAAGAAGAGCTAAGAAAAATTGAAAATCAGTAAAAAGATGCAGTCATCAGATTATTTGCTCCAGCCTTTCAGATTAAATCAACCAAGTGATTTGAGGCAGTGAACCGTCATGCTCGGGTCATCTGGGCTCAAATATCAGCAGAAATCAAGCTTTTAACTGAGATACAACAGTTTACATGTGTGACCTTATATAGTTTTCATGTGTGTTGTCTCAGGAGTCCATGGTGCACTTCTCTCCTGTTCTGTGACTTTAAATCGCACCTCAAGGGTGTCATTAAAGTGCATAAGCTGCTAAGTTTAACATCTTGTACTCTTATTCTCTATTCAAAACTAAAAAGTCAATACATTGATTTCCACTGATAACTGCATGTATTTTAAAGTTAAAACAATACAGTTATAATTTGCATTTTTTGGGGACTTTGAGTTTTTGAAACTTGGCATGTCGTGGTTTAAATGGAGAGTTTTTCTTCCTCTCTCTGTTGACTCATCGCTGATGTTTAAACTGAGGCTTTGATCTGTGGGCCAGCTGTGCGATTTCCCTCTAAAATAATAATAAAAGGATAATCCTGAGATTTAATCTGAATGTATATGTGAACAGAATCTGCACCTATGAGTAACGCAGAAACTAGAAGAAGACTCAAGTCAACCCACCCTTTGTGTATTTGTTCACTGACTCGGTGCTCCTGAGCGACGTGACTTTCTGGTGAGTTTCAGTCTTTGTTCAGAGTCTTCTGGATTCCAGGCAGGTGACACAGTCGTCCAGATCAGGGTGCATTTTCTTTTTAAAGGTCAAATTAACTCATGTGAGGAATGAAGACCTCGTAAGTTGTTCTCTATAGGGAACAAAAGCTCCGGTGCGCCTGCTTAAGCTTGGAGTATTCAGCCAGAGGAAAAAGTAGCTTCAGACGACGGGATCTGGAGTCTTATTTCCTGATATGTTGACATCGTTGCCTCTGACTGCACAGCAGTGCCACTCTGCCACTGACTCTGTTGGTGTTTTATCTCCACAAATAACACACGCCTGGGGGAGTTCTGCTGTGTGGCGGAGTTGCTAATGCTAACAGTTGGCTTCAATAGCTAAGACATGCTCTGCTCTTTTCTGGAAAATCAACAACAGCCTTTCCTGTTGCGAGCCAATGAATAACACATTTCATACTCAGAGGCGTTAGCGAGAAAAGCATGACAGCGTGACAGCGAGCCGTTGGGCTTTTCTGAACCTCGCGTTTTCCCTTCTATTCTGTCAGAAGTTACTGCAGGAAACAGGGATAGGAGACCACTTTCACATTAAACAGAGTTGCAGATCTTTTTCGAAAATAATAAGTAAAAAATTGTTTCCCCGTGAACCTGCTCTCTGGGATATTCTTGCTCTGTTTGGTTCGTTGTGTTTTTTACGGGAAAGAGGGAACACACTTGTTATTTAAATACATTTGCTGTGGTCTCTAACAGGAATGCCTTGTGCATCATTTTTGGTGGGGAGAAAAAGCTCTGGCCACCTGCTTCAGGAAGTAGAAGCTAGTTGGGGGGGGGGGGGGGGTTGCATGATTTAGAGTCTTACTCATTAATGATATTTGGACATCTTGACTCAGAATTGATGTCTGAATGCTGAAGACAAGCCTTGCAGTTTTATTCTCACAGGTGGAGCGTTATAGCTTCTGCTTCTGCTATAATGACTCTGATTGGCTAACAGCAATGCAGCTCTTTTTTTCTCTTGGGTAAAAATGCAACGTTGATGTTTTGTCTCAACAAATAACACAAACCTGAACTTCTTCTGCCATGTTTAGTTGCTAACGCTAACAGTTAGCTTCTAGCTGGGACGTGCTCTGCTCACTCCTCACAGCTCAATGAAATCAACACAGCAAGTATTGTGTTTCTACGTGAACCTCGCCTTTAATCTGGTCTTCATTTTTATGTATTATTTACCAACATTTTAACTTTGTGCCAAAAAGCACAAGATGCCATCAACTGAAGTTGATGTTTGGCTTATTTCTTCATAAAGTCTGATCTTTCACAGACACTCTGGTTTTTTCTGATAACCTTTGACTTAAAAGAGCATCAGAGCCAAAAGTTTGGGACTCTCTCGTCATTCAAGTGCCGCCAACATGGTTACTGGTAAATGTCTCTATCAGTTTTTGCCAGGTAACTATTAGTGGGAAACGTATCTTTTAACAGAAAAAAATGTATATGTATAAATACATATATATGTATGTATATATATATAGTTTTAGCTTGTATAGCATAACGTGACAATATGAACATGTGTTTGCTTCTTGTTTACGTTCCTTGTGTGCCCCCCCTCAATGCACCGGTCCTCTGTGCAGCTAACCGGCGCTCGGCACAGATCCAAAGCATGCTCCTTTTCTGTGATCTTCCATCATACACAATCTCCTCTATCCAATGGTGCGCCCAAGGGGTGGCCAGGGGTGGCCATGGTCCCCCGTAAAAAAATTGACCCCCCCCCCCCCCCAGCAACAGCCAGTGTTAATAAATCACAATAATATTCACTCAAACCATGAATTTGTTATTTATTCAAGACGTAGTTGTAAAACAAAATTAAAATAATACAATCAATGAGTAAAGAAATAATCAGAATAAAAAATACATGTGTTTCTGCTGCTCACCATTTAAAAAAGTTTTTATCTCCATAGTTTTTTGTGAACTCAGTAACAGGTGAATTAAACAAAAAAATATACAATTTTAAATAAAATTTGAAATAACATTTTAAATAACTGAAATGTTTTTTTCTGAAATGTTTGTGTTTGTTAAATTGAAATTCAATCTCTGTGATACGTAGTGTATTTTTTAAATAAAAACAAATGAAGGAGCAATGCAATACATCGCCACAGGCTAAAATCTCCCAGAGTTACCACAAGGACCAGTTTGGTGTGCCACCCCAAAGATTTCTTTGGCCCGTCTGGCCACCCCTATCAAAACTTTCTGGAGGCGCCCCTGCCTCTATCTCCTGGGCTGCAAAACTCTGCAAGTCAAGAGGAATATTCTGTTCTCCATGAGTCCATGCCATGGACACAGGATCGTCTTTTCACAGAGGGGAAGTATGGAAACTGGCACTGACCACTGCCTCCATTT